TCCTAATATCGGAAGGAACAGCGTTCCAGACGGCCACAGAAGTGAATCTGAAAGCGCGCGATGCAGTGACCGTCTTTGTGGACCATACTTCACCACGCTGGCCAATGTATGATGGTCAACGGAGTCGGGTGACATAATGAAACAGATTAACTTGGAAAAGTACTCTAATATGACATTGTACGAGATTCGCTGTCATTTGCACATCGCGACTCTTGTGGAGCACAGCAGAGCCGTGAGCGCGACAATGAATTGCCATCAACGTAATGAAAGCATCTTGACACAGCCGCAAACTCTACAACGACTCTCGCAGGCAGGACGCAGGGACAGCGTGGCTGGCGCTGGGGCACAAGCCAACCAAGAGCACGCACAGCGCCCTCGGCAGCACAATGAGCGCGGCATTAATAATAAATAGGAGTGCATCAAATATCACATCAAACCCTAATAACCACAAGCTAATTAACATAAACAGTCAATTACAGGAAGCTCTCTCATCTCTTATCGTCTGCATCTTTTTTCTCACAAAGGCTCTATTTTTGGTCCGTGTTTCTCTTATCGCACTCCATCTATCTTCCTTGTCCATATATGTTCTGTCATCTCACGAGGATTGAGAGCCCCGATGGAGGAGGACTGCCCTGCTTCGGGGCCCCATGGGCCACCACCAACGACAGCAACATGCTTCTCCTGCCCTGCCTCGCGGCGGCGGCGGCGGTGGGATGTTAACTACCTCGCCTGGTGTGCACGAGGACATGGCCTCGATCACGACCCTGACGCCTGTATATTTGGAGTTTGCGTGTTCTTCGTTTTTGTACCGCCACACTTATAAACATGCGTTGAGACTATTTGGCTGCTATCACTGAGCTATATCGCTCAGTGGGTCTAATTATCTAGTAAAATACATTTTGTCAAGTTCCTGGAGCCCCGCGGCTGAATGTCACGGTGGGCCCTCTCATTTGTGACCGACAAAGACGACAACACCGGCCACACATGGTGCGGGCCCGATCTTGTTCAGATTCCCTAGACAAGTGGCTCCCTCCCGTTGCGTGATCGGCCTCGATGCTGGCTAATGCAAACGCGCCCCCTTGTGGCGCAACAACGCGGCACGGGCGTCTCAAATAGAATTCCCGACAGTTTTCGCAATTCAAACTGAATAGGGCGCTTTGCTGAGTGTTTTTCATACTCAAGACGCAATTCCGGAACAGTGATACTTATCATTCTGGCTGAACAAATCCCACATCATAATCACGATGCATAGTACACTTTGGTTTTGTTGGGGGGCAGGGGTGGGAAAAGTGAATTTTAGAGCAGGTCGACCGTAACGGATCACTTGACTCGATTCGCGATTTTTTGTGTGTTAGGTGATAAATTTGAGGAACCAAAATAAATGTGTTCAACAAGAAGGGGGCACCCGGATTTGAACCGGGGACCTCTTGATCTGCAGTCAAATGCTCTACCCCTGAGCTATACCCCCACAGCATTAGACCCGCTTAGCAGCACTTAAACGCATAGCTTATACCACCTGTGACCACTCAGATGCCAACCATTGCCCAGGATTACTTATGAAATGTATAATCTGCACAGGACGTATGGTACCTGGGGGTATAGCTCAGGGGTAGAGCATTTGACTGCAGATCAAGAGGTCCCCGGTTCAAATCCGGGTGCCCCCTGCGTCGTTTTTTTAACGCCAAACTTTATTTTGTCAACTCAGACGACAGAATGGGCCAGCAACTCAACAAATGTCTGGATTCTGTTCGTGGCAGTGGCTTCAACAATAACGATGGAATTCAGTAACATTATTCAGCTACATTTTAAATGTCTTACAACGAAAAGGCGTCCCGTGCGCGTCAACGCTTATCTCACACGACGCGTGCGCAGTGTCTGTAATTGAGGGGTTTTGTCCTATTTCGCGTGCACATCAACACAATTGTTCATTATCTGTTAGCCGCACAGACGAGGGGGTGGTGTTCTGAGCACACTCTAAGCCAGTGGTCTTCACTCATCTTCAGAGGGGGGACACTTTCGCCGACAAGACATCATCAGTGTGAGGACCGCCACATTTCAAACGATTGCGGGTTTGACAGCACCACGGTGATGATAACGGGCGCTGCGTCCACTCGCCGTGTCCACTCGCTGCGTCTTGTCGGGGCCGCACGACAGAGGCCTCCAGGGGCCTCCAGGGGCCGCCAGTGGCCGCAGGGCCTTGCACTGAAGCAGAGCGCCGCCCACAGCCGTCTGCGCGATCTCCACGTCGACGTCTCTGGGTGGCGGCGCTGGGAGCGCGACACGGCGAGACCCGAGAAGCGGCTCACAGACTGCTCGGAGCGGCTCTCCTCTCCTCTCACTGTATGACTCATACCCAGCAGAAGCAGTCGTTTCACAGACACTGCGCACGCTTAGTGTGAGATAAGTGTTGACGCGCACGGGACGCCGTTCGTTGTAAGACATTTAAAATGTAGCTGAAAAATGTCACTGAATTCCATCGTTATCGTTGAAGCCACCGCCACGAACAGAATCCAAACATTTGTTGAGTTGCTGGCCCATTCTGTCGTCTGAGTTGACAAAATAAAGTTTGGCGTTAAAAAAACGACGCAGGGGGCACCCGGATTTGAACCGGGGACCTCTTGATCTGCAGTCAAATGCTCTACCCCTGAGCTATACCCCCAGGTACCATACGTCCTGTGCAGATTATACATTTTATAAGTAATCCTGGGCAATGGTTGGCATCTGAGTGGTCACAGGTGGTATAAGCTATGCGTTTAAGTGCTGCTAAGCGGGTCTAATGCTGTGGGGGTATAGCTCAGGGGTAGAGCATTTGACTGCAGATCAAGAGGTCCCCGGTTCAAATCCGGGTGCCCCCTGCGTCGTTTTTTTAACACCAAACTTTTTTTTGTCAACTCAGACGACAAAATGGGCCAGCAACTCAACAAATGTCTGGATTCTGTTCGTGGCGGTGGCTTCAACGATAACGACGGCAGCGTGGAGCAAAGCGTGCGACTGGCGGGGCGAGTCACCACCCACTCGTGATGGGGAGAGCCCCTGGGGGGCACCTGGGGGGGGGGGGGGCACGCCGCCCTCTCATCGCAGGGGCCACGATTTGAGACACAATAAATCGGCGAAGGGAAGGATATGATGAGAAAAAGGCGGGGAGGAGAGGACATGAAGGCGATGTCGCGGTTTGTCCGTTTTTCAATCTTCCAGTAGCAGCGACGGCTGCGTGAATGGTGCCGCAGTGCCGGGACCCCCCCCCCTACCCCCCCCCCTACCCCCCCACACTCGCACGGCGACTCGTGCCGGCTCACGGAGCGGCTCTTCTCCAACACGCGTCCGTGCCGTGCCGGGGTGAAATGAAGCATCGTCGTCGTCCTCGTCGTGTGCCACGTTGGGAAGTCGCTCGAACGAGGGTCGAGCGCTGCGCCAAAGATCGCCGCCGGTCACGGGCAGCACCGAGCCTGGCACGGGGTCGTGCCGGCTCGCCACCATTGCTGTTCCCCCACTCCCACCAAGCGCCTGGGGATCTTCATCATCATCATCACCACCATCACCACGATCTCTGGCGAGACCGCCCGGTAGGTGTCCACAGCTCCCTCTGTCTTGTGCCAGAGATCGGCACCCGCTCATCGGACAGCGATCTCGCTCCACCAATCGGAACCCGTTTCGATGTTTTCGTCACTCCGGCCGCATGCACGTTCCTCCAGGATGCCGTGTTGCCCGCTTATATTCTTTCAAATCTCTGACGCTTAATGTCGTCGGGTCTACGAAGCCTAACGAACTGAAATATTAGACACGGACTCGTCTCGTGTGACAATTCAAGATTACATTAAAAAATCATGAATACTCGTTCATTCTACGAAGAGTAATCAATGAAGCAGAGGTACCGCTGTTGCCGGTATTGTTTAGATGTTTCCACGATCTCTCTGATGGTTACGATCTGGTCTCTTGTTCATCTTTTCTTCCTAAAGTCGGCTTGAACATCTGGTAGTTCTCGCTCTACACAGCTCTCTATTTTATGTTGAATCATCTTCAAGAAAACGTCGCTGGTATGTGATGAGAGCTCTGGTACGGTCGTTGGAGCATTCTCTGGGGCCGCTTTCTTCTTCTTCTTCTTCTATGTAGGTAGGAGACGAAACGCTTCCAGTCTATGGGCCACTCGCCACGAGACCAAATCTGTTGATGCAAAACTGTGTCTCAATATCCTCATCTCCTGCTCCCTTGATGAGCTCAATGGTATATGACATCTCCTCCTGGGGCCTTGTTGTTTGTGAGCTCCTTCAGGGCTTTGCGCGCTTCACACTCAACCACAGTAGCTTCTTGTTCCTACTTTCCTGCAGCACATTATTTAACGCTTTCATCTAGCTCTGTATTCTCTCGATCGTCTATTTACTTCTTCCAAAGTACTCTTTGGTTCTTTCGGTAACGTCACGTAGGTGACGAGACTTTACCGAAAGAACCAAAGAGTATGGATTCCTGCAGTCACGAAAGCTTCAAATCAAGATTCTTCCAGAATATTATTTCCAATGGTGTCCTTAAGGCCACCCACTCACTTTGGGTAAATCTGCCTCACTTCTTGAAGAGATCTCTCGTCCTTCCTGCTCTAACTTTAATTTCTTTGCTGCACTTCAACATTGCATCATTAATGTCTTTATTAAGTTAACGACATTGGGACTACAACGTGTAAAAAAATGATAAAAAGTTTTTCAATTCACACACTTTTATTTGACGACGAAGAGATGACAGCGATGACAGCGACAGCCAGGACCCGAACCCCCACGACAGCCCCGAACCCTCATTTGCCTCTCTTATATTCACTCAGCGTGGCCAAGCCCCGCCCTTGGCCACGCCCCTCTTCTCGAACTCTCCCGCGGATTCCAGGAGCTTCCAATTCGATCCCCTCTGACTCTTGGCCCAGTTGTCGTCCTATGCTGCACCCACACCCGGAATTAACACCCATGGCCACTAGATGGCATACTGTCATTACAGATGTAACAGATGGATTTGATACACTCTTCAACCACACACACAGATTTATTTTCATGCAAACAAGTAAGTATCTTATAAATCAGACTGCCAGTCATAACATATGCAACTGACACTTGAACCAAAGAATGATTGCTACGGTGATACTAATAAAGTAAGCAATGGCTAAATTCGTGATTAATATTAATCAATATCATTAGAAGGCAAACAACTCAACAAAGACAATCAGCTTTCAGTTTGTAGCAGTAGTCAGTCTCACGCTCGCGTTGAGGCGACCGCAGGCATGTAGACCTATTCTGTGCTGTTGATTGTGAAGTCGTCACGTGAACAGGCAGCAGCTTGATGGGTGGCGACAGAGCAGCGTCAGCACGGTGGTTGATGCAAATGGTGACTAATGTATCCCACTGCTCTACTAATTGTATGAATGCGCCATTGTATGAGAATGGATGTGTTTCTTATTGGATATATGTTGTCTCTCTTGTGAGACAATGAAGACCTTACAATTTACCAGCTCACCGCACGTTTGGCCTCAAGTTGTGTCTGGTGCGGCCACAGCTTGTGAGTATAATGTCGTGCTCTGGAGTCGGGGAGTCTCTGGTGCACTGAGCCAACCTCCCAACCTTGTGACATAGCTTTCAAGTCAAGTTCGTCTCCTATCTGTGGTGCCACGTTTCCTTAACGAAATAACATTTGTATGCAAACAACCATTAACTAATCAATGAAAATTTTCCTCATCATTGATGAGTATTAAAATACATATGATTGAGACAATGTGTGTAATCCTTCTTAACACTAAATGTGTGTTTTTATAAGGGTATATCCACAACGCAGCCCAACTGTAAAAATACACAAGGTGGTTTATCAACAATGTTAGCGGAGCCTGCTGTGGGCGGTGAGTGCAGGGTGCGTCAAAAGACTTTATTATTATTATTTAAGTGGCCCCACATACAGCATTGTAATGACTCGCAGTTTAAAACTTAAAATTTCTTAAAACGTAAACGGGGAGCGCCCTTTTACTTGATCGGCCAACGCGTCACTTGCCAGCGCTCCTACGAGCCGAGCTCGTGCTCAGCTCACCTACATATTGGCTGGCTGCCGGGCGTGCGCGCATGATTGACAGAATGCCTGACCTTCGATTCTTGATTGGCCAGGGGATGTGAAGGGTAAATACCCATGTAGTTCAAACGGTAAATGGAGGCTGGTTAATGACCTGGGATGGGAAGTTAAAGGGTTCGTTGAAAAGAAAAGAGATCGACCCAGAGAGCCATAAAAAGGGCACGCGCCAGTTAATCGGGAATGCTTTTTACGAGAGAGTCCCATCCCTCTGTATCACGTCTTGCGTTGTTGTCGAAACCACTTAACCCTTAACAGACATACTCCTCTGGAAGTTCCCTTAACAAACGCGAGTGTATGCGTGCGTGAGCGTATGTGTGCGCGTGTGTGCGTGCGTGAGCGTACGGGTGCGTGCGGGCACGTGTGTATTTGCACGCACATGCGGACTGGATCAGGCCACTCCAAGCAGACTGCAGGTGGCTGCCTGCCAGTTGGGGCCCAGCTCGAGCCGCGTGCACGCGCACGGGCACGCGCTCTCCGTCGCGCGGATCCACGAGGCCGCTCGCGCAAACGCGTCGGCACTCCCCGGCACGAACATATCCAGCTGCACCAACCTAAAGTCCAGGCGACACGCGACACACGACACGTCAAATTGCTGCAAGTCTGTGAAAAAAGATCTTCAGAGCTCATTGGATTCCTCCAGTCTAAAAAGGTTGGCTACGTACGGTGCGAAAGAAGTTCAACACACAGTACATACATGAATGCGTGCGTACATTTGGAAAGACAAGAGCGGGTGGCGAGCCGAGCGCTTTGTAAAGTGACGGCAGCGTGGCACTCACGTGCTCGCGTCTCGCCGGAGCAGCTGCAGCACAAACTCATTCAGGCTCGAGGCCACACCCGCGCGCAGGCGCAGGATCTGCAGCACGAGCAGCGTCCACACCAGCCGGACGACGGCTTCTTCCATGCGTGGGCCTGGGATGTTTGCGTTCGGTGAAAGCAAACAGCGGGGGGGAAATCAGACTTGCGTAGGTGTTCACGGTTTTGCAGTGTGGATTATCCGAAATTGCACTGCGTGTTGTTCAGCATCACCCTGTAGAAGGTACCCTGCATGCGGAGCAGAACGTCGGTCACCAAGCCCAACAACACATCGGCGAGCTGCACAGCGTATGTGTGGACTACTTAATTTTTATCTTTCGATCGTTTGAAACAAATATATCCTGCGATGTTTAATTTTCAGAGTGTAATAAAAATGTTACTCATGGGAGAGCATTGGCTCATTATTTATAAGTATCATTTAGGGACTCATTCTTTCCAAGAATTACAGTAAACCTCAACAAAGTTGAGGGTTTTACTCAATTTAACCACAATATATATAGAGAAAATGCACCGGGATATTTCTGCAGTTCTGCTTAAGATTCGTGCTTTACAATAATGACATAAATGCCAGTAATTTATGCTAAATTCAAAGTGCTGCGATTAGTTACCATTAGTTCGTGTGCTCACAATACACAAATAGACTTTTACACTGAAGAATGCTCTGTTTAAGATCCTTGTGAATCATACGCACTTTTTTATTTTAGACTCATGCAGCTAACTGCACACACGTGACAAAATCCTTGAAAAAATACAAAACAATCAAAATTAACCCGTAAAAACAAAGTTTTTCACTATAAATCCTTTATATGCGTGGCATCGGTTTTATTTCAGCCCACATTGGTGTTTGAAACGGGCGGCTAGAGTCCTCTCGTCCTCTGGCTTGAGATGGCTGCCACCTATGGGTCAGATTATTGCCTGCCACCATTAAGCAATTGGTAATTAAATAGAAAAAAAAAATCCTAAAAAGTGTAAAATTTTGGAAAAAAAAAATTTCACGAACATTAATTGTCTCGCACAACGAGTCTGTGTGCAAAATGTCAGCTCGATTTGATCACGGGAAGTGGGTTAAAAAACGACCGAAATATGTGCACGGTCGTAAGCAAGCAAGCAAGCACGCAAGCACGCAAGCAAGCAAGCAAGTGAACTTAATATAAAGGATTAAAAAATGAGACTATAAATATGAATTGAATTGTAACTTTGACTTGTAAAATAATAATCAAATCACATCGGTGGTTGAAACTTTACATGGACACTCAGATTAGAAATAGTAGTGGGACCATCTTATAAATAAGGCACACATTTAAATCGACTGCTAGGAAGCAATTACTGTTAAGCATCGTATACACTGTCTTCCATTCGAACAAGTTAACGCCATTGCGCACCTAGGGACTGAATGCCCTGCTTCTTCAGAATGACGGTGATGTGATCTGGGCTCCAGCCGACGAGGGATGAGAGCTCCACGCCACCATCCCAGAATCCATCCTGATTGCAAAAAAAAACATTTACTCAAAGAAACATTGTGGAAATGTAACTATCGTTCTCAAATAGTCACCATTTGTCAAGGGGCTTCAAGGAATATTTCAACCGAAAATAAAACGCTCTTGCAGATGCAGAACTAGGACTTCCATCCTTTGTTTGAATCAGAATAAAAAAATTTGTACTGCAGGAGGCATCCGATGAGCTATAAAGATCTTTTTCACAGATGGTCAGAACGGTAGAACAATTAAAAAGCCGGATAGAAGTGTAAAGTACAGGAAAGGCTCGTGGTTCCAGCCTGGTCACCAAAGATTGCACAAAAAACATAATTAAATTTAGTTTGTGCACTGAATTTGGATAAATTCCACCTATTGAGATTTAAATTGATCAGGGTGACAGCCATTAGACAGTTTTATAGCAGTATGTGGAAAAACTGTGACCCCTACTGTGCAAGTTTCACGAAAGACAGTTGTATCTGAAAATAACATCAATTTATATTTGGATTGCATCTCCTTTGAGGCATTCCAGTACATTATAGAAATGTTTATTTTCCTTCTTAATTTCCATCTAACAACAATAGCACTCCATCCTTTTGTTGTTTGCCTCTTTATTCCATGTTTTGTTCCTGATCTGCCTTCAATAATTGCCCTAGTTATACATATTCTGTGTTTTTCAGTTCCATCTCACCAACTAGAGTTTTTCTTTTTTGTTTATGCAAACTTGTTGTGCTTGACTTTTATATCGCTCATATTGACCCAATGTGCATCAAGACCGTTTTCTAATCAATGCACATTACGACTCATGACATACGCATCCGAAACATGGCGAATGATAAAGGAGACGCAACAAAAGCTGAAAAGTGTGCAACGAAGAATGGAGAGATGACAGACAGAAATCGTGGGTGAGAGATCAAACATAAAGCGGAGACATCGATTCTTAAGGAAATTAAGTGGACTTGGGCAGGACACATCGTGGCAAGAATGGATGGCGACTGAAGAAAGAGTCTCGTGACCAAATGGGCGCCAAGAGGAGACGAGACGCCCGAGAGGACGGCCGTGCACCGGCGGGAGAGAGGGCAGCGCTCAGAGTGCAGAAGCGAGATTGACTGTGCTACCACAGCACCGTCAGTGATGGCGATGGTAACCTTCATCCAGCAGTGGATATACAATGGAAGATAACAAATCACACACATATACGTACATACTGGCTTAACAGTGTTCTATGCAATTCAACAAGATTTCACGATATAGCAAGTGGAAATTATCTTCTTGGTTCTTTCGGTAAAGTCACGTAGAAGGGAAGTAATAAAATAATAAAAATAAAACATAATAAAATAATATAATACTTCCCTTCTACGTGACTTTACCGAAAGAACCAAGAAGATGAATCGCTGCAGTCATGAAAGCTTTAAATCGAAAGTGGAAATTACTTTACAATACAAGTATTTACACTGTAGATGACAAAGGAATGTGATTAGCCAGTGCTAATACTGTATCGTCCATTTATAAACGGCATGCATGTAAATGACCATACTGTTAATATCACCTTGTTTTGAAGACACGTGATCTTGCTCAAGTCAGCGTGTTGCCAAGGGGTCATAACGGACAACTCGGATGGCCCACTGCCGCCCAACTGGGGAGCTCCACGTGATGTGTCGGCCATTAGAAAACATTCAAAACCAAAAGGCAGCAGACATTCTTCTTCGCTGCTGAAACTCTCCAATAAATTAGATGAGCCTTCGAATGGAGGCTCTTCACGAAGACGGCTGGATGCTTGACAAGATGAATACTGAAAGGCATAGTGCCTTGGTCGTTCAAAACGCGAGGCAAGCCGCGCTGGAGGTGGAGGCGGGGGGAGTGGAGGTTCTGGAATGTCAGTCGAGCGCTCTTCGGAAGAGAGTGGCGTGTGAATGGGAGCAAGAGAATGGGCTGAGCGTGGGGACGAGAGAATACTTCCAAAAGAGCTGGACATGGCGGGTGCGTAGTATTCTGGTGCTGAATCCCTGTTAGCTAGTTGCATTACGGACATGTCTCGTTTTGCAGGTTCAGGCGCTCTGCTCATTAAACCAGCTCCAAGCTCGTTGACGTCGGGCATTGGTGCCGCACCTGGTCGGCCACGGGCCCCAAAACAGAATATTGGAGATGGAGGTTTTCTAACGCGAGCCAAGCATTGTTGTTGTTGTTGTTGCAAGGAAGAGGCATGCATAGCGAAATGCTCCGATTGTAATCTTGCATGGCCCTGCTTAAAGGTGTATTGATATGGTGGAGTGAACGTGCTCGGCGTTTCCATCGCAATAACGTCCAGAGAAGCACCTGGAGGCTGCAGGTTATCTAAGATGTTTAATGGGGCAGATGCTTGAGCTCTGGCAAGAGACACTCGTTTTCCAGTGGAATTCAGTTTGCGAACGACAGATCGCGGTACGCAAGCTGAGCTGCCGAATACTTGTTGTAATTGCTGACATTCAGCTGCTTCTTTTAAGCTCACTTGTGTGGCTTGTTGTAAAAGCTGGTGTTCACCAAATCTCTTGCTGGCAGACATCATGGTTATGTGTGAAGCTGACACACCATCGTCCTTAACATCTCGTCTGAAGAGATTTGATGAACCTTTACTGGAACCCGTTACCGCTTCTACACTTGCATGAGCAAATTTTGTCTGGATTCCAGAAGTATATTGAGAGCCCTCGTCTGCTGCAGCCTCTATTTCAAACGGAGGCAATTCTACACATTCAGCTGCACCGCCGAATTCAATTTCGGGAGTTTGTTCAGTTTTTTTAGATAGCATATGGCTACGTGATGGACGTGCCTTCCTACATTTTATTTTCGAGGAGACCAAGCCTCCTTCTCCACCGACCGGTGCTTTTGTTTTTTCTGCCCCCAGGTGGAACTGCATTGAACCCTGCTTCTTCTCCTCCTCCACCCAGCCCACGTAGGGCAGGAAGTCCACAGACTCCTTGGAGAGCAGCTCGTCCAGTGCAGGGCCTGTCGCTTCATCGGCCAGTGTCTGTGGGTCACAGAGAGACCACAGCCTCACGCTCCGGTGGACCACTTGCACACACACACGCACATGCCCTCATAACATCAACATTATCAGCCAATCTATCCACTGCTGGGTGAAGGCCTTTCCAAGTCAACACCATCTATCGCAATGTAATGATTCACCTAGCATCTGCATACAAGCAGATTTCATTGCTCCACTGTCTCAACAGACATCATCTCAGGTGCATCCTGGGTGCATCATAATTACCGCAATGCACAACAATTTAATCCAGAGACCGCTGCTTTCATTCAATCTCTCGGTGCGGCCTTTGGAACAATGGGAAACTTTTTTTAAATCCCCCAGCCTCTGTCCACCCAGCAGCAGTGTAAATGGGTGCACCACAGTTAGTCGATGGGGAGTAGGCCAAAATAATATTTACCGGAGCTCTGTGGAGCTCCCTCTAGCCAAGGCCCTTCCACCAGCAGTGGCATGAGCAAAACGTTTCTGGGCTGTGCCTCTAACCTCGTGCAGCACAGACTGCCGTGTGTGAACTCTACAGTGTTGCCACAAGCATCCACATTCTCAGCCACCCCGTGTCTTAAAATAATCTCTGGGACGTCCAAAGGTGGCACAGCATGCCATCCAACCACCATGGTGAAACCTATGGCCAGTGCCACTAGACGCTCAAAAGCTGATAATTGAATTAACCTTTTTGTTCATTTGCGTTGCTTGTACGTATAAAGGGCTCCATCATGAAGTGTCAGTGGCATAACAACTTTGTACATTTGGTACTTGTGTCATTCTTTTAAGCACAAGGCCATCACAAAGGGACTGTTGCAGGGGGAAAGTCAATAGGGATACAAAAATGAAATGATACACATACGGTGCGATTCGACTAACACGCTGTTTTTCAGGAACACAAATCGCCTGCTGGGCGATGGACGCCTGTAAATGTACCTCCTTCAAACACAGCCACAAGCCCAAACCGTGCACTGTAGACTTACAGAGTCTCTTTCCTCCACCGCCACGAAGCTGGTGTACGGCGTTATAATCGAATACTCCTTGCTCAACTCGACGATTCGACTCTTCATTTCTGCTATCATGACCTGTGGAGAAGAAAAAATACATACATATCTTCGCGTCTGCGTATTGTTTGGCAGACTTTTCGCTACGCGCGCTCGGTAGCTTCTTCAGTCAGGCCTCATGGTGAATATTTGAAACCCTCCCAGCGAAATATCGCAATGGGCAGTGGCGTTACGATGTGGTCTATGATTTTGCCGACTGATATTTGGATAAGGACGCCGATTTATTGAGCCAGTGGACGAACTCACGAAGAGCGCTTATCCCATCAGTCTGCGGGAGGATAAAGAGAAAATAATCTGTCTTCGTAACACGACAACTAGCACCAACCTTCCCTACTACAGAGATAAATGTCCATTACATGAGAGTAAAACCGATATTTTTTTATTCTGAGAACTGGAATTTATCTACATTACAGGCCCAGGGATTCTGCCATGGTGTAATGGCTAACACACTGGATGTGCAATCCAGCATGGCAGGTGAAACGATGGTGCAGTTTTCATAAATCCCCCTGCCTCTGTCCACTCGGCACTACGACTGGGTGCACCGCAATTCGTTGACCGCCATGCTGTACCCTTTTCCTACGTGAAATTCAAATACATAGATTTTTGCTTCGAGCAAGTGAGGTGCAGCACCTGTCGTCGAACTCACCGAGCACCACCAATTCATGCAACTGCTCCTCGTGGCAAACACTAGGCTCAGAGCGTCCGACGCGGCGCCCCACGTCAACACCCGGTAACGACACCGCAGCTACTCCGCGAGCCAAGCGGCAACGCCGGTGGCAGGTTACCAGAGGTCGCAAACGGGTTTTGATTCCTTACCCGTACCCGGCCACACCAGGGTCGCAAACGGGTACCCGTATCGGGTAGGGTACGGGTATCGGGTACCCGATTGCGACTTCTGCAGCGTTACGCTTTTGGACACCGCTCATAGCCGAAGACGCAAGCCTCGGATAAAAATAAACCTCGTGCTGCGTCTCGTCCGGATGCAGGTTCCCGTCCTCGTAGTCTTGGATGATGGCGTGAGCCGTCAGCCTGTGCAGCATCTGTCACGAGATCGTTTGGCAAGTGTGAGCACAGGTACAACGCACTCCGTTGTATGGTGTGCACATCTGTGCGTGTGCTTACATGTGTCCTTGCAGTATAGCGCTACGAAACCGGTGACGCGAATTCGATTCTCACTCACGACTAACGCCAGTGACGTTTATCTCACCTGCTCCTGGGCCTCCCCTAAGTCGACTCATGCGAGAACCTGGTGCGATGTATAAATATCGCCACTGGGGAGACAAACGCGGTCGGGCGTGGTGCTGGCCACTCTCCACCTTGCATGCCGTGCCAGTCTTCACTGGTGTTTGCTAATAGCACTCACGGAGGATTTTTGTCTTGTCCTTGAAATACCAGGCTAATTAAAGGGTGGAATGGCCATATTCCTTGTATTCACAAATTCCTGTTATTTTCATCGAGACCAAATGTATCCCCAGTTACTTGTAATGTTATTTTTGAGTGCTTATCAATTTACATCACATCGCACATTTTTAATGGTCTTCCCCCAAAAGGCCGCATTACGTGCAGAACAGGGCACATCCATTCACTCACTCACTCGATTTCAAGGACACCTTAACCCAAGTACCTCACAATAAGCAACACGCATCGTAGAAGTGTGCGTGCATGTATGCGAGTGTGGGCACCACGACAGAACATGCCTTTCCACGCGTGATCTGCAAATTGCTGGTCGACACCATCGTAGAGAATTCTTGGTTGTTGATAATGGCATGGAGCGTTGCCTGCAAAACGACACCAACCTCTGTGTGAACATTATAATTTACAAAAAAAATCAGTTTACAGAACTTTGTCAATGCACTGGTAGATTAAGGCCCTCCACAATGACTGGACAAGGCTTCACCACGTTGCACCATGCGCGTCAGGGCGAAGGGGATTCCAGGATCGGTTCGGACTTCACTCATCACCCATGTCAGCCCTTAACCAGGCAAACTCACCCAGACTAACTCATCTCAACATGAACCACCAACCCCTTGCCACAGTGCGCTGGGCCGCAGGCGTGCATCGTCAACGTAGATGAGCAAGGACCCATGTTCGTCGCCAACAGGTGGCTAGGCTTTTGGCGACGGTGCCGCTGGACCGCGTGCGTGGTGGCGTGTGCAAGGTGCCGTCACCTGCGTGCAGTGCGGCACGATTCCGTACACGACGAGCCGCGTGCCGCAAAACACGGAGCGGATCATCCTGGGAGCCTGCATCTCCACGCGGTCGTCGCCGAGGGCGCCGCGGTCGAAGCGCTGCCACTCGACGGTGACGTCACGGCACACCGGCTGCGTCGCCTTCTCCATCAGCGCCAGCATCTGGGGGCACGCGGATTCAAGCGGGACTCCCGAATGAGACTCGCAAACGGGACTCACAAACGGGACTCATGAAACAGGACGACCAATCGTGACAAGAGAACGTGACTCACAAGCGAGACTCATGGCAATTGGCACCGGTGGCAGCTCCCCACTCACCCCCTACCCCCACATTTGGAATCAACATCACACGTTTAGAGTATATGGCTGCTATATATTTCCACGAGATGATATACCACTTCATTGAGTTATCATTCATGATAGCCAGGTTGCTTCTGAGAAAGAGCTACGTTGCTCAGTGGGCCCAACCTGGTAAAATAAATAACAAGTGAAAAACGTCTTGAAAGTAGTGGGAGAGTAGCCACATTACATGTGGTGATGGTGGTGGTACCCATTTATCCTGCTGAGCAGATGGGCAGGGGGATTAAAAAAAAAAACTTGCACCATTTTATCAAACTGGCGTGCTGGAGGACAGCGTTACTACCACACAAACATAATAGCAAGATAATTTGAATTGCTTTGGTGAAATTCCCTGAAATTGTTAGGTGTGATGTTGCATGTTACGAGGGATTTTCACCTTGTCTGTCCACGTTGATCTGTTTTTGGTGGTGAAGAATTCACAGGCGCCTCCACTGTTCCGTGCCAAAGCATTCAGGAAATATCTGTTTGGCGTTTCACTGATCGAACAGAAACACACAACACGCACTAGTCACGATCTGTTACAAGCCAGGGCTTAATTTCTCACGTGATAGTGTTGGGGACACTGCTAGGCCGGAATGGCTTGGGACTACCACCAGAGTACAAGGTGTACCTATCAATGATAATCGTACATTATTGTACGGTAGATTCCTATAATCCTATGGACAAGTTTCTAAAAAATGTGATTGATCTTGAGAACAAGAAAAGGTGAGATGGAGGTGGTGTGCCAATATAATTTCCGGAACAGCTTTAAGTACGGCTCAGGATTAAAATAACACCATGGGATCTCTAACATCCACTGTGAAGCAGACGGCATGCGTATTAACCCAGGATGGCCACTGGGCAAACGCTCGACTGCTCGGCCACGTCACCGCTTTAATCACAGGGGGGGTGAATCCCAGATGTAAAACTAGGACCTCAGCCACGGTGGCTCAGCCGCCTTGACCCCTGTGCCACCTGGCCATTTCCAATTTATCATCATCACGGTCCATGGGCAGATCGCCCACAGGCGGTCCACTACACATTTGCTTGTTTGTTTCCACTTTCCTCTGTCTTGCGCTAATATGCTCAAGTAGTGTCACATCTTTCTGGCACCAATCTCTTACGATGTCGTCATCAAGCCAGTCTCTTCTAGGTCTTCCTCTCTTTCTGGTTCCTTCCATTTTTCCGAACATACTTTAAATTTTCCTGTTGTCCATCCTACATACGTGTCCAAATAGCGCCAGTTTCCTTCTCTTTTCCCGATGACGTGGCTTCTAAAGTGTCGCCCCATCACACGCTCGCAGCGCGGCTGACACGACGTCGCTCCTGCAGGGGGGGGGCGCTCACCCGACCCCGCAGGCGAGGACCCGCAAGAGCCGCACGTGCTCACGCGCCTCCCGCGTGACGCGCGCCTCCGACTGGGCCACGCCGTCCGTGAGCAGCAGCACGGCCACCGGCGGCGCCGCCGCGTCCCGGCTCCCGCCCACGCCCCCGGCCAGCAGCGCCAAGCTGCGAAGAGGGCGCCACAGCTCCGTGTTGCCCGCGTCGGCGTGCAAGCGCTGCCGGAGGGGGCGGTGGGGGGGGTCGGGGAGGAAGAAAGGGCGAGGGTTGGCGTGCGTAGAGCCGTGGAGGTCTCCGAGTTCAAACGAGCAACGGGACGTCGATCCTCTACATTGGTGGACCGGAGCAGATTTGAACTTTGACCCTTGTCATGTTGATGGGTTCGTCTTTACATAGAACGGCCAACAACCACTTCCTGTAAGGTGGTGATTATTTTCTAGTCCTTGGAGGAATGATGGGCTGAGTGGATGCCCCCACACCGAACAAGGATTTTTCATCTTCAGATTCTGGTTTTGAGTCAGGTGCTTTACCAACAACACCAAGACTGTACTGCACAAGTGGATATTGTGGAGAAGTTCCAGCACGCGTTGGCTCGACCTGCCTTACTCGCTTCCGCCGTCTCGACCTACAGTTCACCTTGCGGCCTCCAATCGGGTTCGAGATGCCTCCTCGTCAAGGCTGACCCTCGAAACAGACAAAGTGAATATTGCGCCTCTGTCTTGGCCCCCATCATCTGGAATTCAATCCCTCCTTCACTGCTCATATCTGTGCCGAACTTCTGCCGCAATCTGAAGACTTCTCTTTTCTTACTTATTATCCTCCCTTGCCTCTGAATGACCTTCTTAAGTTCACATTGTGCGTGTTATACATCTATTAATTAATTAACTATAAATATGCTACAAAGATTTTTTAAGGTTATATTCATATATATTTGTTACTCAGTTTATTTCACGGCATTAAAACTCACCTTTATAAAGCTAACTGCTGTTGCGATATTGGATGGGCTGGATTCACGGAAAACAGGGAAGAGCTCCTTGTAATCTACAAAGAAACATTGCACAGTTAAATCGCTGTCCAGGTACAACATTGTCCAGCTTTACCCCACCACGTGTGAGAACTGCTTATCGACAAACTGTGATGCACCCATTTAAACAAGCCAATATAATGACCACATGTTCAATACTACTACAGACATTGTTATCAATACTCTACCTTTCCATCGTCAATCTTGAGACCATTCTTGGTGTTGAATTAGAATTGTTATACCAAGATCCACATTCATACCGAATCTGGAAGCGTACTATGTCATGATGACAAATTACAATTCTGACGGAAGTAGAAACATTCAGCGTGGGCAGAATCATTCAGTAAAAAGCAAAGAGAATCATACAACCAAATTGGAATCATTCTGGGAATAGCCAGTGTGACCTAATTAAGCCTTTGTATTTGCCCTGAAGGTAGCTAAACTCGTGGATGTGTTGATACGCAGAGGCAGTGATTTCTAAAGTTTGGCTGGTGTGCAGAGTACAGACAAATGGAGCAATCAACTATTCGAATTTAAAAATAGAGTACTAACAATCGGGACTGCCTGGCATGACCTTTCTGCACCATGTAGAGACACAGCGTTGCTTTGCAAGCTGTTCAGTTTATTTAAACTCGGAGCACTGCGATTATATTTAAGATTGACATTTTATTGGTCCTCCAGAAACTTCCATGATATTGGGGACACGGTAAATCCGGCCACTTTATTTGGCATTCACCTCGTACGTTTAATCACGCAAACTCCGGTCATCCTCGCAGTGGCGGCATTTGGCTGACCATCGAACAAAGACGGTCACTGCATCACGCGCTCTCAGATGCGCTTCTGCGGTCATCTAGAATCCTCTTCCTTATGTTAGGAAGCCACTGGAGCTGTGCAAGTCTAGATTGAAAAGAATTTCTTCAGAAAAGCTATTTGTGTTTAGTTTGTTGTCCTTCCCCCGCACCTCCGACGAGCACGGTTGGCTACGTAGGTTGGGAAAGAAGTTCCACATACACACAAGGAAGGAGCTGCCCCTTTCACCTCGCCGAGCACCACGCGCGCGCGAGCGATCGCTTACGCGTGCCAAACTTGAGCACGTTGAATCTGCTTCCGGGCGGGAGGTGGCGCAGAGCGAAGAGGGCCAGTCTCTTGGCGTCGGTTAACGGCTGCGCTGCCATCGAGGCCGAGCAGTCGAGGCACAGGACGATGTCCACACCTTCCGGGGGGCTCGGTGCAAACTCCGGGTAGAACGTCAGGATGCAGGCCTTGTGGGGGTGACAAGCGACTGGTGTGCAACGCCTTTCAACGCGCGTTTATAATTGGGAACACTTTTAATCAATTTTGGCGATTTTCAACAAAGTAAATACCGAACACTAACACAACTTTCTAACACAGTTTGGTATATGTTGGACCATGTTTACAAGCGTTATTGAGCCCCCCTCATTCCAAACACACAGAGCTATCGGCCGAGCCCGCTTGAAAGAGATCTTCATAGCTCAAATGGGCTTCAGTCGGCAAATCAACTTTTGATTTTAATTCTAATGCATAAACGCCCACAACATTAACACTTTCCCATCGTCCACGAACGTCTGGAACGCAACAGACTTGACGGGCGGTGTTTCCTGGGCAGGGGAGAAGATCTACGACCTCTCGCGCATCGCCGCTCACCTGGCTGTCCGTGTCGGGGTTTTGCTCCACCCACATGCGCGGCTCGTGGATCTGGGCCAGGAACACGAGCAGCTGGAACTCCGACCCCAGCGAGTCGTCGCTGGATGCCAGCTCCACCACGGCCTTGCATGCCGTGCGCTGAGCCACGCGCCAACACAGCGAGCGTTAATGTCGTGTCCGTGTTTAGTCGGTCGATTTCAAGTGGTCATTCTCCGAGGACTAGTCGAAGGTTGGTTACGTACGGTGCGAAAGTTCAACATACATGCTCGTTGAACTTCATACATACATGTATGTATGTTGAACTTCATACATAAATGTATATGTATGTTGACCTTTATACGTACATGTATGTTGACCTTCTTTCACACCATACATAGCCAACCGTGCTAGTCAGAGGTGCGGATAAGGACAACAAACTAAACATACATTCACCGGACGCTCTAAAGTTAATGTGGTCCACAGTGGTTTAGTGGCACGGTGCCCGGTGGGTGGCGCTCACCTTGATGCGGATGGCGTGCGTGGGAGAGGTAACGTTGATGATTTCGTACGGCATTTCCACGGACACCTGCACCGACAAGCGTCTGTAGCAGCCAGTGCAGGTCACACAGCGCCGTTAAAAGTCAGCAGCAAAGTCCCCGTGGACAGTGCATACATGGCAACCCATTTATAGATTTCAAAAATAATAAACTCAACCACATTCGTCAATAACACTATGGGTGTGGCCTTAAAATAACAACATGCAAGAGGCAATGTTAAGAGCAATGGTCCGTCTTCATCGTTGGTCAGTGTGGACTGTGAAAGGGGAGTCTAGGACCGATTCCGAACCAATCACCATTGATGTTAGCCATGGCCCGGAATCAAACCCGGGTTGCTAATTTTTTTTTATCTTGCCAAAGAAGGCCCTCTTTTTCAGAAACGACCTGGCTATCACAAATGATTGCTCAACGAAGTGGCTTATCATGTAGAGATTTATAGCAAACAAATACTCTAAACGCATGTTTCTAAATGTGGAGGGAAAACCTGGAGGACCTGGAGAAAAATCCACACAACTACGTGGAGAACATGCAATCTCCAAATATACAGCAGCAGGCGTCAAGGGTCTGGATCGAACCCATGACCTCCTGCATACCAGGCGAGGGAGTTAACATCTCGCCACCACGTGCTATGCTGAGTTCATAGCACAGCGGGCCTTAGGTAGGACTCATCGCTGGAAGCAATTATGACCGATGGTGAAGGAATGAAAGCGATGAGTTTTACATAGGAGTGAGATGAATAGTCGCATCACAGGGCCATGAGGAATGGCGATGGAGTGGGATTTAATTCAACAGTGGATGAACCATGGCAGCTGATGATTGTGCTGAAGTTTCAAGAATGCAAAAAAGATTTAACATCTGTTTTAAAGTGTAGCAAACGTTGCATTGTGTTACTTTAGTTCGATAATAAATCAGGTTCAGGTCTTATTTCTGTTCTTTGTGCAACAAGTTAGTTTGAGTTCACAAAGGAATCATTTGTCAATGAAGGTTCTCATTGACCAATATGATTCCAAGTTCCACCTACTAACGGTTCCATTTATGCATAAGCAATGTGAGTGGGCCTACGTAAAGGATAGTAAGAGGTTCGTGTGTTTTTAAGTACGGGCAGTCCTCGACTTACCAACGGGTTCTGTCCCTGGGACCCGTAAATCGAACAGACCGTAAGCGTGTATGTTTGTAAGTCTATTGTTCGTAAGTCGAGGACTACCTGTGTGTACAATAAGTGCATGGTGGTGACGCTGCTGTGCACGTGGCGATGTTTGCCGTTGTATCTTGCGGATGGAGGACGTTCGTACCCAGAGTGCTTTGCCACCGCCAGCGTCTCCACCGTTTCCTGGAGGAGGAGGAAACACGCCGCACTCGTAACTTACATGACATTTCACGTCTGGGGAATACTCAGTGCTGGATTCAGCTAGTGCGGGGCCTGTAGCATATGTTATAAAGGTGCCCTAAATAAAATAAAACACATAACTATTAAAACACACATTTATGTACTAGTCGCGATAATTGTATCATCCGTTTTGCTAAATATCGTTGTATTACAAAATAATAATTTCAACTTATAAAGTGCCACTGCACAGTATTCGCTCGCTCACGAAGAGAAAGAACGACTCAAGAGGTGCGAGGATGAACCACAGACGAGCGGGAAGGCAAGACATTCGATGAGGCGGCATTATCAGCAAATTAATGAGTGTTTACATGTGGGAGAAAACTGGAGCACCCGGAGAAAACCCACGTGTGCGAGGGGGAAACACTCTATCCCATGCTGACAGGAGGAGCCCACATGTTTACTGCATTGACTTGTGGCGAGCCAAGCAACTATCAACGCCTACGGGGAGTTTCGCAACATTTATGCGATCCGCTCTCGCTGCCTCCACAGTGCGTGTGCGCGCGTGAGCTGCACTTGCCTGGCACAAGTGCACCTAGCCTGGCACAAGTGTACCTAGCCGAGCACAAGCTCCGCGGTGACGTCACCGCCACCTAGGCGGCGAATGGCGGCTGTTTGTAGTTGTCGTTGCTACTGCTGCTGCACCTGAGTGACGTCGCCGGTGGCGAGCCGTTGTTGCCACGGCGCCAGGTTCCCCGGCAGCCGGAAGCGGACGGCGGCCCCCTCGGCGGCGAGCTCGCACACGTAGGTGACCTTGATGAGCACGCGGCTCGCCGGTGGCAGGTTCCCCACGCTCACCACAAACACGTCCTGCCGCGGCGGAGGTGGGCGGGGAGGACATCGGGTCGACCGTCAGTCCCTCCGCTCTCTTTCCTCGTCTCTCTCCGAGCACAGCCCGGCCTCTGATATTCGCTTCCTCCCCGAGATTCACAGGTACGACCTGACCCCCTGACCAGGGCCGGTCGGCCACAACGTCGAGATCCTCTTTCCCTCTCAGTGACAGAGTATCAACAACCCTGCTATTGTCTGCAATTGTATCGATGTACACATACAGCCCTTTTGTCAATCGTCGCGACATGCGGGTCGTAGGGGTGGTGTAATGATGGGCAGTGTGGGTGGGTGAAGCCAAGGAGTATAGATAATGGAGCATGGTGCAATACAGCTCAGTTCGGTGTATTTTGAATTTCCCTGTGAGCCAATAAGCTCTTAAATCAGCAATGGCCTAAAACTTTAAAAACTAAACTATTTTTTTTATTTTATCAGGGAAGGCCCACCGAGCTGTATAGCTCTTTTTCATCAGCGACCTGGCCACAAATGATAGCTCAACGAAGTGGCTTATTGCGTGAAAAGGTATAGCAACCAAATACTATAAACGCATGTTGATTCTAAATGTGGAAGGAAAAACCGGAGGACCCGGAGAAAAATCCACACGACCACGGGGAGAACATGCCAACTCTATATATACAGGCGTCAGGGTCAGGATTGAACCCAGGACCTCCTGTATACCAGTCGAGGTAGTTTACATCTCGTCACCGTGGCACCCCGATTTTGCTGCACTAGGCCCTCGTCTGCTGACAATGTAGCCTCGCAGAAGCTTCCAGTACCTGTTGCATTGCATGCTGGCCACCCATCCAAGCACTATCCATGCAGGCGCAACCCTAGCTTCACTTCTGACGAGATCGGTTGCATTTTCTGGGTGATCTGGTCATAACAAACACATTTGCAGTGACTGTGAACGCCACTGTGTGGTGCCGGGCTTGCGAGGCCACGGCGGATAATATATTGTCATTATGTGCAGCCCGGTTATGGGGTGAGTACCAGCCCTAGCGGGGCTTGGGTGAGCGCTGGTCAGCGCGGAGGCAACACGTACAGTGTGCGGTGCGGGCTCCCGGTGAGAGAGAGCATCAGCCAGCCAGGGTTTCGCTGGGGCACGATACGCTGGTTGACCTTCTTCTTGGTTCTTTCGGTAAAGTCACGTAGAAGGGAAGTAATAAAATAATAAAAATAAAACATAATAAAATAAAATAATTCTCACGACGTTTTGGCTACAACGCAAGCAGCCGTCTTCAGGTGAAGAATGAGACACTGCCAAGCTAGGAGCTTATATATAAGCTGGGTTGGAGGTGGAAGAGCGCCTTAACAAAAAGAATGTGCATATCAAGAGGAATTTAGCATATTCATGGGAAATGCGTAGGAGGTGGGCGGGGGGGTTTCAAAGTCATATTATGCCCATGCATTATGCAGGATCAGCAGCATCAAGGGAGGATGCAGGGAGTAGCATTAACAAAGGAAAGGAATGGTTGACCTGCCGACACGTGACCGGATGATATTGGATGGGGGCCACTGGGTGGTCACGTGGTATAGAGGAGCTCTCGGGAGCCTTCGGGAAAGAGCTCGAGAGATCTAGAAGGTGGGCGGGGCGAGAGGCGGAGCCAGCCCCAGCCCAGGCCGATATAACGGGGGCCCCGTCAGGGGCTCGGGATTCTTGACTGTTGGTGAGTGAAGATCCACGTCGGGTTGAAGAAGCCTCGAGCCACGCGGTCCGGGACCCGGCTCGTGGTCCGGACCGGGATAGCGAACCGTGTCTAGTTCTGCCGTAGCGTGGTTAGGTGGGCGTTCAACACCCGAGTGTAGGTCACGTGATGTTGTGCTGAGTCGATGTAATAAATAGTGTTGCTCCCAAAGACAACGTCTGCGACTCAGTTGGACTCACGACCCATTTATCTGACCTGAGCAAGCAGCGGTTTGGCAACTCGGTGTGACGTGTGCCGCGTGTTTTCCGTGACCATGGAGCTTGGTGCGTGTTATTGTATTCACCGGGGACTCCTGGTCCATGAGGTAGGCCCCATGGCCCTGGCTCACTGCCTCGCGGTACCTCCGGTGGGCGGTCTCTTTTTCCTTCACCTGAATAAAAAGACATACAGAGTGAGTGCAGTTATCATAATAATTTAAACTTGTAATGTGCATGGTATTCACTCACTCTCGAAGAGAGAGTGGCTCAGAGGCGCGATGAGGAACCACAGACAAGCAGGAAGGCAACAACGCCGTGAGCCGGCCTCACCGTCCCGGAAGGCGACGCCGTGCGCCAAAGCCGCCCGCGAGGGCGCGAGAGGCCCAGAGGAGAGCGCCGTACCTGGCCCACGATGTGCTTGCCATTGATGAAGGCCTCGAAGCTGCACACAGCCGCCATCTCGTCAAGTGGGAAGGTGAACTTGGCCTCGATGGGCTCCGTGCTCTCGTTGTCGTACTCCTGCATCACCACCACCTGGGTGGGGGGGGGGGTCGCTCAAATGAAGACAACTTTGTGGGAATTCAGAGACTGGCCCGCTAGAGCGGCGTCCCGTGGGTATCGCTACGCTACAGCCAGAGGCAAGCGGCCGGTGTTGAGGGAATTTGCGGCAACAGCAATGAGCAGTTTGAGCGAGGAGACAATCCCGGATTTGCCGAGCCCCTTGAGGAGAGGAAAGCGTGAAGTCTGTGTGCAGGTGATCAACAAACACAAACGTGGATGGTCAAGAAACGATAAGAGGGGGCGTGTTTTATTTTTTATTTTCCTTGAACATACTGCTAGTTGTGCTGTACAGCGCTCCTATGTATTTTCGGGCTGTACTCTGTGCACTATTTGGCACAGAATCAGAACATAAACTTTTTCAGAGGAATCCGATGAGCTACAAAGCATTGTTTCACAGATGTCCAGTAGACAACCTCCGATGCTTCGCTCCACGTGGCGAGAGCTTCTTAAGGAAGTCTACGCTGGTGAATTCAGCTCCTCAAGATGCTCCCAGCAGGCGCAGGGAAATGTCGCGACGTGACGCCAAACAACACCGCGGGGTACCGCCCAAATAAATACATCGGAGACCTTTGATTTGAATGCGTTTTCTAATCTCTTTGGCCGCTCTGAACCCACCCCCCCTTCCCGTCTCACCTGGGCGGTAAAATCGAGGATGTTTGCCCGCACGTGCACGGCCTTGAGAGGCACGGGCAACCCCGCCCCCGAGTGTAACCCGCTCAGCCTCTTCTTGGGTTCTCCTGGCTCAGGCAGCAACTCCGGGACATTGGGCTCAGGAAGAATTCCTGACATTGGGATGAGCAAAATGCAAAAAAAACCCAGTAAGAATTAAATGTCTTCCCTGTGCACCTGACCATGGGGCAGCACTCACAGCCGTTGATGGCCCCGAGCCGTTGATGGAAATTCTACGTGAAACCCAATCACGGTACAATGCGGGTTTATATCTACATTGATATAGTGTCTAAATGTGATAAAACACTCAAGACGCTGACACCACTCACCACACACCTGACATCAACACAACACAATTTAGATTTATATAGCTTTTAAATACCACCGCATAGTAAAAACAGAGTGCTCACTCTCATCGGCAGGGGTTTCTGGGGCTTCATAAAACTCTTCAGCGTCCGAGTTCTCCTCCCCTTTCACCTCGTCAGATTCGAGGCAAAACTGAACGATGTAGCGGAGCTTCTGCTGCCGGGCATCGTAAATCACAAACTCGTCATCCTGCGCACGCAGACACGCAGCGGGAGAAATGGTTGTCGCCACTTTAGCCGCCAATGCCCTGAGACCACGATGACAGCACGAAGTTCACAGCGGCTCACGCATTCAAACATTCACTTGTGCCCGTTCGAAATACAGCCAACTCTCGATCATCCCAGGTAGTGTTGGGGGGAGGGTGGCCCGCAGATAAAATAAAACACAGATATGAAGCATTTATAATTTAGGATATAAAAGCGTAATAGTTAAATTGAACCCGTAAGCCTTCACAACCAATTTCAAGATTCCCATTCAATCAATAAAGTTGTCATGAGAACAAACGTGGCAGTTTATTACTGCTTCAGCAACAACGGTGTGTTGGAGACCAATTCATAACATTTAATCATCTGGCACGACTTTCCATGGTAGTTACACAGCCAGCATCATAAGGCAGTTTCCAGACATCTGAAAATGTCCCTCCAGTCTTGGGCCTTAGATCGGTGGTGTGATGTCATCAATGTGCTCTCTTCTGGATACACATTGATGACATCGCACCACTTGTTTGTAACAGTTGTTCATGTACAATGGGTTTACAGACGTAGGAATCGTCATGGATGTTGTTACTGCTTGATAAAGTAATTGTATTACTTGATGAAATGTTTGAGTTCACGTGGGTATTGAGTCAAAAAATTGTAGCAAACAAGGGATTGGAATATTCAGCGTGGAGGTCTAGTTGTTAGTTTTCAATTTAAGATGTTTGTCTGGTTAAAGGGAGCTCACCCACTCGGCTGAAAGCACCAGCGTGAACACAGTCCTCTTTCACCTCTCTCGTGTGTTTGGGATGTACCATGCGCGTGTTGTTCCACACCAATGTCCGACTGTTCGCTGCACTTGTTGGGAGCTCCTGAAGAAACTCCCAACACGAGCGAAACGTCGGACTCCGCGACGTTCGACGCGCGCGACAACCCCGAACACACATCGGGGGCGCTACGCGGCGCGACCGCAAACAGCCACGAGGCAGCGTTGCCGTATCGCCGCGTTCATCCCTCACCTCGAACTCGGAGGCGGTGCCTGGGGTGGCGCGCGCCCCGTGCAGGCTGTCGTGCCCCTGCGGGGGCGCGGCGAGCGAGGGGTCGCGGTGGCGCACCAAGTGGCAGCGGCCCAGCGCCACATCGCACACGGCGAGCACGCGGCTGCCGTCTCGAGCTGCGGCGCGGCGCGCGTACTTCACGCTCGTGCTGCGGGCGGGGAGACACGGGCACGCGGGCAGACGTCGCCATCGTCACCCATTCGCGTTATTCATTCAGGGAGCAGCGTCGTCGTCGTCGTCACGGCCAACACCAGACACGTAGCAACCACTGAAACGAGTATTCCATTCGGAACAGATCGATCGCTTCATTAGCGTTTGTCTTTTTAGCAAATTTATTCCGATTGTGCTTTCGGCGTCACATCACAAGGTCTCATGTGGAATTTTGTCCACGCAGACAATGTGCAATTGTTTACGTGGTAATTTATAAAATAATTCCACAATCAAGAGTAACGTTTGTTTAACCTGGGGAGAACTCAAGAACGGTTTGCTACGTGCCCCCTTGCACCTTTGAAGAGCACGGTTGGCTACGTAAGGTGTGAAAGAAGTTCAGCGTACTTGCACACAGGAAAGCATGATTAGTGAGGGAGGTCACCAACATTACAAGAAGCTGCAGCCGTTCATGCAACAAATTCCGTGAACCTCTGCAGTCACTAGACATCCTCCACGCACCACAGGAGCAATAAACAGATCGATTCATTCACCGAATCGTGAGGGAAAAAGAGGGGGAGGGAGAACGGTCCATGACTAATCAACACCATATACGGGCAGCACCTGATGGAGTCACTGAAGTAAATGCCACATCCCAGCATGCCGATGTCCGTGCGCTCCACTCCGAACTCCCCCACCACTGTCTTGGGCAGCAGCAGACCCCTTGAGCAAATGTAGAGATACAAGGAGGTGAATTAATAACTACAGGTTATGTGAGTGTGTTTGTGTTGGTGTGTTTGTGTGAGTGTTTATGTGTGTGTACTTACGTGTTTGTGTGTGTTTGTGTGTGTGTTTGTGTGTGTGTGAGTGTGTGTGTGTTTGTCTGTGTGCTTGTGCGAGAGTGTTTGTGTGGGGGTGTTTGTGTGGGTGCTCGCCAACAGCTGTTTTGTAGCAGCGAGCGGCAGTGTAGCGGTGAGCGCGCTGCTCTACGAACCCTGGCAACCCGAGCTTGATTCCCACTCATAACCAACACCAGTGACGATTATCTGAACCGGTCCGGGCCCTTTTCTAGGTTGACTCAGCCTCAAATAAGTAGCTGGTGCGATGTGCAAACATTGCCACTAAGGAGGCAAAGGCGGCATGGTGCTGGCCACCCACACACTCGTGTGCTGTGTCGGCCTTAATAGGTGCTCGCTAAAAGCACTTGTCCCAAGATTCTGTTAAGGCTATACAGGGGATCTTTGCCTTTGATCGCAAACATCACATGCCACAAGTCCCGAGAGCAATCGCGGCTGTCTGTTGGAATGGAACCCGTCGGTGCTACGTCTCTTCGGTCCTCGGGCTTCGGTCTTTACGCTCGGCATCGTGGGTCAGGCAGCGTGTTACTGACTGACCCGAATGATGTAGTTACCCCGTTGTGGTCTAGTTAACCGAGTGTACGTTTGTGCAGTTACCCTGTTGGGGTGTTATAATAAACGTGTTGCCTCCAAGTTCCAGTGTGTGTCTCCGTGAAGAACACGATAATTATATTTCTGATTATGATGCTGCTATGAAAAAGCTGAAGAAACAAGTGATAATGACGATATTTCAAATGATAATAATAGTGCCAGAGATGCTAGACATGATGCAAATTATGACTAAGCTGATGAAGCAGAAGATGATGTGATAATATATATGATATTTCTGACGACGATGCTGCACGTGACCAAGAATTTGACAATCGTCACTATACAAGCAATCACGATTATGCTGACAAAGCTGTTGATGAGCGAAAGTGAAAGCGCCAATGACATCAATTAAGATGCCGATGATGGCGATGACGATGCTGTCAAATCGCCCCTCACCTGGACAGGATGCCGAGCAGGCTGCGCGGAGTGAAGGCGTGGAACAAGGAGCGCGTGTTCCCCACCTCCGAGCGGAACTGCCCGATCTCCGCGGGGCGATCCACGCGAAAAATCTTCAGGATCTTGAAACCATCGAGTCTGTCCAGACATGGCACGGCAGAGAGAGCATCCAGAAAGTGCCACGCCACAGTGGTGAGATGTTAACTACCTCGCCAGGTATACAGGTCGTGGGTTCGATCCAGACCCCGACACCTGCTGTATATTTGGAATTTGCCTATTCTCCCCGTGGTTGTGTGTATGTTTCTCTGGGTCCTCCGATTTTTCCCCAAACATTTATAAACGAGCATTTAGAATTTTTTGGCTGATATAGATTTCCACGTGATAAGCCACTTTGTTGAGCTATCATTTGTGGCCAGGTAGCTTCTGAAAAAGAGCTGTATAGCTCAGTGGGCCTTACAGGTAAATATTTACTAGAAGAACCGATAATGTCCACGCACAGCCCTGTTGTCAATCCACTGCTGGGCGAGGGCCAGCGCACTCAGTGCGGGTCGCTGGGGGTTATTCAACCACACCGGACAGTCTGGGTTGGTGAAGGTGGAGAGCATAGATGTGCGAGCACAGCAGTACAGTACAACAGCGGACTGTGCTGCATTGTCCTCGACTGCCCACAGCCCTTTATCAATGTACATCGCTGTACACAACATCTGTTGTGGATGTTGGCCACATACCCAAGCATGATAGAGGCTCAACGCTACTCTAGATCAGGAAGATTATTCAACGGATCGCAGGCAAGTGGACCCAATTTAGTTCCTCAATTCAAGAGGTTCTTGGGGAACTGAATTCGCATCCTGAAGAAGCCCAACTCGTGCAGTGGAACATCTGACATGATGTAAACCACGAACACAAAGGCAGTAGCAGTAGGAAATAATATTTTTTTTCAACATTATCATATAACAATATTTTGCAAAACAAAGCAGTTATCAAGAACCTTATATCTTAGAACATATATCGCCACATCCGATCAACCCTAGGCTCATCAGGGCTCTCTCTGTGCGTCCACATTCCTGGCTGCTGCCACTGACCTCCCGTGGCTGGACTGCAGCAGCTGATTGCGGAGGCTGTTGAAGTCGCTGGAGTTGGGCTCCAGGTGGAGCAGGGAGCAGCGCAGGGCGGTGAACTGCGCCAGCGTCGTGGCGTTGCGCGACAACGCCGTCAGCTTCTTCAAAGCCAAATCTTGTTCTCCCATCTGCCGGGATGAAACGTTAGCACGTGGAACTCCTCGGTTGTTGAGAATGTTAATAATGATTAGAGCTTGTGATCGAACCCATCATCAACAGAGTCGGGTGTTCCACTGCAGAGCTCTAGAGAGACCATCTGGAGAGTTGTATTGGCGCACCCCACCCATGCTGACCAGTCACCTTGGAGGAAAGGGAGAGTGACTCACTGTGGTGTTCCCACAGAGATGGGCTGGGGGGAATTTGAGAAACTTGGCCATTGTTTCAACTGCCACCCTGGGAGATCAAACCGGCAATATTCTTGATTGGACGTCCATTGTCCTACCTATCGCCCGATAGCTGCACCCCCAAATAATTGTTACAAGGCAAAATAGGCCATACCTGGCACACTAAGTTGTCGAGCTGAGATTGTACTTTATGGAAGGGGATTTCCACCAAACACAACGGAAACAAGGGGAGTGATTAATTTTCACTCATGCAACTTCAGCGTAATTGTACATATTACTAAAACGGGGAGTTAATGGTTCGTGTTTAGTTTATGGTAAGTGGCCATGCTTTTCCAACTTGAGGAGGAGAGTGTGAGAAGTGGAAGATGCATTGTGTGGGGTGTGCGTGTCATTCCAACGAGAAAGCCAATGGGCTATAAAGGCGGAAAACTTAGGCAAGGCTCAGTCGAGGAGCACGCCGATCTGAAAAGCCAAGTTGCTGTTGTGAGTACTGCCGACACGTGTATCATGTTATGACAAGTTCTGAAATATGCATTTTAAAGATGCAGTGTAGCACATATTCTTGTTGAGAAGTGAAAGGGACCAGTGGTTCGGTTTGATGTAAAAATACGTGTAGATTGTGATGTGAGAACAACTCCTATGGACGATTCGTTAAAAAGAGGTTAAAAAGGAAGATCTGAACGGTGACCGAGTATGAGTGAATGAGGGGGAACATTTTTAAAAACTCAAAGCGGACTGAATATCACTGAAAGAGTGTTCACCCACACAGCCTTCTGAGTCTGGATGTGAGAGACACTGAATTTGCAAGAAGAGGTGTGCATGACATTGGAGATTCAAGATCCATGCACTAAACAAGGCTCCCAAGGCCCAGGCACGATCAACGCAGCCTTCATAAATGGGGTGCGGTGACGTTGGGCGATGGAGCAGCATCTGCCTGCTGTGACGCATCAACGCCAGCGGGGGATGAGCGTGGAGAGACACCGCACGCCAATCTCCTGGGATGGGTCCAACGCAGCAACATCGAGGAGAGTGGGCTGCCACACAAGCTCAAGAGCAGTAGGACTGTGCCTGCTGAGGGGAAAGTGGAAGCAGGCCTGAAGCCAGAGTAGTTGGAAGACGGAACACACTGGGGGGAGGGGGGGAAGGCAAGCAAGACCTCACTTGTACCTGGTGGTGTGCAAGAAAAGTGTGTGTACTTAGGAGCGAAGAGTTGCTCAGCTTTTCTTGAGGGAATATTCTTGTCTTTTAATTTAAAAAATGTAAGCCCCGCCTAGTGAAGTGACCCTATAGCACAACATCCACGTTCAGACAACCCCACAAATTTCTGTGGCTGGTGACGAAAATAATAACAATGATAAAATGTGGCACCACTCCTCGCTCACACTCACCGAGCTATCGTCTCCGTCCGTGTTTTTCTTCCTTGTCGCCTCGTTCGCATCCACGACGTCGCGGATCAGCTGCCAGGATGTAACATCAGGCAAGTGAGTATGTTAATCGACATTAGGCTTCTAATCGAACAGATAATCAGTAAAAGGCCTCCACTGCAGAAAGCTCTAGAGGGCCCCCTCCAGAGTAGTTTGGCCTACTCTTTCATGCTGGCTGGTCATCAAGGGGGAGTACAGACACTTCACCACACCCAAACCACCAGTTGACTGACTGTGGCATTCCCATTTATATACTCTTGGGTGCGCAGAGTCAGGGAGATTTAAGAAACTTGGCCACTGTTTCAACTGCCATGCTGGGAAGATCGAACCGGCGATGCGTCTCGATTGCAAGTCCAGTGTTATAACTTGTAAACGACGGCAGATTCTCCAAATAATAATAACAATAATAATACATGCGGCGACACTGCTTGCTCACTCACCTGGCAAAGGTCAAGTTTTGCTGAGATACTGGCCATGCCTGTAAGTGGACAAACAGCCTGAGGTTGCTGAGGGATGATCTTGTAGAACTCGTTTGACAGTCTCTCCAATGCGCCTTCATCATGTACATCTTTGCTCAGCACTGCCTTCTTCAGCTGCAGCAGGATAGCTTCTGCTTTGGTGACCTATATTTTATTTTGGCAAGAATAAGAAATGGGGAAACGAAGACAATTCATGCATACGCATGGGATTAAGCAACAGCTTTTCAACATTGGTTTTGTTCTTGGATGTATTTAATTAGTAATCATTACAACCGCGTCTCTCGCCAGAAGCTCAGGAATTTGTACGTTCGTAAACAGCGATGTCGTTGGCAACCCGTTGCTGTGGAACCCATCCCTAATAGCAACACAACTTTACTCTAAAAAAAATGTTTCATTCTGCATCATCTTTACAAGAGATATTGTGACCTCCCGTGACACACGGACATACCTAATGCATAACCCTTTCAGCATGAGTTTGAAGGCCTTAAAAGTGTTATCTACAATTGTGGAGCTTTGTAAGGAGAGTTGAATACTAATTGTGAAGGCCTATCAAGAATGCCCATGTGGGTGTAGAAACACTCCAGTCATTCGGCAAGAAAGATTTATTTACAGTCAATAATTTCCAACAAAAAATGTATCCTTCTTTAAAATGTTTATCCGAGTATTTTCAGGATAAAAACACTGTAAAGATACAATCGGCAAAATACTTTCTGTACTGCCAGCTCGAGGTATCGAGCTGCTACAGCAGCCGAGTTTTTCCCACACTCAACCTCAAAATAATCCACACCTCATCAAATACCTTTTGTTTTACCGTACAACCGAGCTGTGCTGGGATTGTAACGAGCCAGCCTGGCACGGCTCCAGAGGCACAGATTGTTTTTCCCACTGCCGAGCCCGAACCGCGCTACTTATGTCACGCACAATGAACGAGTGCGATGAAACTGCGAACCCTGTCTTTGTTTGATCCAGAGACAGATTCAGATGCCTTGGCCACATTTCATGGTTTGTGACTCGGCGGCGCGGCAAATAACCAGTGGAAAACCACCCGTGCCGCGAGGGCCCCACGATGGCGTGGTTCTGATGCGCCAGTGGAAAAAAGGAAACAGTCACCCGACTGCAGTCGTGTGCCATCGCATTTGGAAATCACCTGTGCTGTGAATGCTAAGGTGGATTCCGCTTTACCTGCTTAGGCTCGATCAGCATTATGGGCATTTGAAGGATCTGGGAGAGATGCCCCAAGGCCTCGGACCATACGAACGACACAAAACGGCCGACGTCCTTGGACAGGTGAAAATTCGCCATGGAGATCTCCGTCTGTGCCTGTCATCATCAGTGGGGACAAACAAATAAAACATATATATATATAAAGGTGTGAACAGGATTGACGCACCTAATGCCTGAATGCACCACGTGAAGCCACTTGAGAGAAACCAACAACTGACTTAGCATCCCTCCCCTTCTCTACAGCACGCGTCACCCTCTTGTGGGATAAAATCCGTAAAAATGTGTTTTGTCGCATAGAAAATTAACAACACCGCCCTCTCATATGCTACGCTGGCTCTAATAGATGCTCACTAATAACACTTTGCCCAAGTCTATCTTCCATTGATAATATATTTTTGGTTGAGATGACGTCAATAAAATGTGTGTCGTTAAACCCTACACCACGTGACACAGCAAATAAATAAAGCTGCCACGTGAACAAACGTGACAATGTACTGCTCTTTTCGCAGGACCACCAGTGCGCTGAAGAGCAACCTCACAACTTTCAAACGAGGACGACGTTGCACTGATAGCAACAACCAGCAGCATCCGGCAGTTGCCAGTATTATATCTCTTTTAAAATATCTGACCCAAAAGATTATTAAGAATCTAAATATTGGCCGCTAAAGCACACGTGTTAAGTTTATCTTCACTTTATTGGGTATATTTGTTTAACTGTGTAAAGTTGTAAATGTGTAAGAAGAGGTGTTTCAGTATGTGGTGGTGGTGGTGGTGTGCATGTCAATTACAACCATCTGGTCCACAAGACGAGTTCCACAGCAATGGAAGGATCCCCGAGTGGTTCCAACTTTGAGGAAGGGTGACCCCAACAATGACCGGGTGTTTTACCAGTCGAAAATATTCTCGTTTAGCACTTGATAAGTGTAAATAAGATGCTTACGGTGATGGATAAATTATGTTTACGGGCCGTTGTTTCACAGTGGTAGGCCCCGAGTGGCCGTGGGCCGTATAAAATGAAGTCAGTGGTCCGTGTGGAATTAAGTCATGAGCCGGATCGAGCCGGTGCTGTAAGTCCCCACCTCTGCTTTAACAATCGACTGTTACCCCCCTGAGTGTCTCATTGCAGCCCCAAGCACCTGTTGGAACATGCGAGAGCCGAGTTGGAGGCCGGCGGGAAGCTGCTCCACCTTGACCATGCGGCAACGTTCTCCGGTGAGGACCTCGCAGGCGTGGCCCAAAAACACCTCGGCCCCCCGTCCACTCCCAGCCATCCGCACTTTCGTCAGTCTGCTGGTCACCTGTGCACAGACGTCACAGTTGACTCTGGTTCCTGGGTTCACCAAAGTACCTTCAGGTTCAAACAGGTACAAGCGTGTCCTCGAAATATCGGGATAAATAAGGGAATGGGGTGCCCCAGTAAATATTATTTACTTCCGTTTAAGACCAGAGTAAAACTTTTACAACATGTGGTGTTATTTCTTTATTTTCATGTGACACTATGTCTGTATTATAAAAACAATATCACGGAAAACCACCATATAAGAATAGGTTTTACCCCTTAAATCTGGCAACAAAACTGAAACCTTTTTACAAGGAAACATGTCTGCATTAACCACAACACTTGTGGTCAGAATGCAAACAAAAAACACTCTAGTGCATTCGCCACTTGTTGCAGAGGTTACCGGTTTGAATCCCGCAGCCGTCCGGATTGATCCTGGGGATGTATCAACCACGAATCCATTACACGGCGGCAGCATGCCCTGGTTTATGAACGACGCGCAAGAGAACCTGACCTTGTCGGGGCTCCTGCACGTGGCGTGGTAGGCAGCAACGCGGAAGACGAGGCCGCTGGAGTGTGGAGCTGCTTGAATTTCTACGACCGCCCAATACTCCTCCTTCGCCTGCTCCTTCTCACTCGTCTTTGAGAGCAGAATGTCCAAACGTCAGCGTTGACATCGTTCACGATTGCACAATCATAGAATGCAAATTCGTCGCGGCAGTCGGGTGGCGTGCGAGAAGGGCGAATCTGGGATTCAGCCGCCTGTGTTTAAAGCAAGCAGAGCGACTTGAAGGTTTCAGCCGGGCTACTTGGGACTGCACAAAACCCCATTCAGCTAAGGTTGGCTTAAGTTTGGCAAAGTACTTTAACTGCGATGCGATACACATTGATGAAGCAGGGCATGTGAGAAGGTAATTGAAGGGGCCTCCAAAGAAATATTGTGATGTTATCTTTCAGAGGCCATTCTCTAACGTGCGATTATGTTACTTTCATTTTCTGTGAGTTGCAAAAACAAAAATCTTCATATCATGAGAACATGACACTGATAGCAAAAGTGGAATATAATTGAAAAAAATCTAAAAAAGTGCAAAAGAGAATGTGTGCTCTATAATCTCTGTCGTAACACTGACCTTGCAGAAAATTGCCGATCGCACCATCTCAAACTCCTCTGGGAAAGCGGGCCGGTTGTTGTCCTCATCATCATCATCCCAAAGCCTGCATACCGCATTCACTATTCATTACAAAACTCCAACTCAGACAACACGCTAAGACTACGCGCTAGAACGACTATTGTAATACTGCAAAATGAGTATTATACATCCACGTTAACACCACAGGGTTGATGCCAATATGACTTATAGAGTATTGCATAATATGAATCAGGAACTTCCACTTTAAATACAATTTAAGGGACAGCATTAGCAGCAATGTATACACAATGTATTTTGTGTTTGTAATATTGAACAATATTTTTTTCCCTTGTAACAATCCTCCACTCCGCGACTCGATTAAACGTCGTCACAATTCAAGTATCAATCATGTTTTCAATTGTACTCTTAAATCGTAATGTCAGTCTCAAATTCTATGTCATTTAATCCGTCTCATTTGTAAAGTCGGTCTTATATGAATGTAAAATCTGTGGTATTCGCTCCATTAGCCTAAAAGTTAACATTTGCATAGAATTAAGCATACATTTTCAATCAATCGATTTTTACAAGCATGTTTTAAATGCTTGCATTGCGAGCGTAAGAACTGATGTTCATCAATGAAACTGTGACGATTTATTGTTGTCACATTACAAGTTTCAACGTGGGTTTTATGAAGTTAATTTGTAGAAAGTACATTCGAAGTCATTTCCTATACCAGCCAATGAGGAACAAACGTTACACGTTTCTTAGTATAATTCAGAACGTGCAGCTTACTTGACTTTGTTGAGTTCAAATGTTTCCTCTGCTGGCGGTCCTCGTTTGTGATCTCCTGTTCTGTTACGGAGCGCCCTTGTTACGACACCATTCGCTCGTTCTGTTTGGGAGAGGTAATGGTAAGAGGAAGAAAAAATAAATCTACATTTGTAAAAGAATCACGATAATATGCATTACAAACACTGCCAGAACAACATTCTGAGACAAAATGTAAAGAACAAATACAATGATCAGCAGAAACACGTGATTGTGATACTCAAGCGGTGTAAAAAGCCAACTGAAAAATGCCCGAGTGTTTTAATTATTGTATTAATAAACACAGTAAACCCTTGCTATGCGCGAGTTCTGTATTTGCGAGTTTGGCATATTTGCGAGTTACTAAATGAACACTCATTTCTTATTCCCGACCTGCCGGACTCCAGCATTCACGAGTGTACACAGTGCCAGACCACCGGCACCAGGGAGGTGCGTGAAGAATGTTGTTACATTTGAAACTGTCTGCGCAGATTCGGAATGCCACCTCGGCTGCCCGTTTGGTCCTCATGATAACAGCTGTGCGACGTTATCCATCTCCCGAGGAGTCATCCTCCTGAACTCCTCACCATCACTACCACCACCACCACCATCATCGCCAAACCATTCATTATCAAAGGCAATAAAAAAAACACATTGTTCTTAAAAATGTATTATTCATTTATATAGCCGTTGTTATGAAACATTTACAATTTCCCCCCCCGCCATGTTCACTCGTACGAGGAACGTATCCCTCATTTTTTCCCCGATGAAAAAGGTTTTTGCATTCACGAGGGTTACGTTCTTGAAAACGCTCTCGAGTCCAGGGTTTCACTGTCACTTATTTGCAATCACCGACACCGACCTTCATTGCCCACGACGACGATGTTGTTGTTGTCGGCAGGATCGGTGGCGAGCGCCGGCTCTAAGAGCTGTCCTGCCGCGAAGCACCGATCCAGGAACTCGGGGCACACGACTCGCGCGCCGTGCTTGGCTGCCAGCTTCAAGCGCGAGGGAGAGCCAGCCCCTTCTGCCGACACCACCAGATGCGTGCACTACGGGACAGGGATTATCAATCGCCAACGTGCGTGTTACACGCATGTGTCTGATGCGGAAACATGCTTCTAAGTGACTCCGAAGTCTCGTAGGTGAAGAGGGACAACGAGTGATTGCAAACTCGACCGTTTGATGCAGCAGAAGTAGTGGTGCTACAAAGCAGAATGTTCACTTCTAGCAGATCGTTTCTAGCAGGAGTCAGAAAACTGCAGCCTGTGGGCCTAGGGGCCGTCCATTTTTGAGCCCCCCCCCTCATCACACGGCGTCACAAAAAGTCAGACCCACCCTCAAATATGACGTCACAAAGCTCTGCCCCCCCCCCAAAAAAAAATGCTTCAAATCGCTTTAAACTATGGTCATTGTAGTGCGTATTTAATGTGGCGCTGCACTCTGATGTTGTCGGAGAAAACATTTATTAAAAAGTCTCTTTAATGATGTAGAACGTGTTGTCTATATTGATTTAAAGTTGCGCATTTTGATGTGACGTCACATTTCTCAAACCCCCCTCGTCACACATCGTCACAAATGTCTGACCCCCCCCCCCCCATGGTGCGTGACGTCATTTATGGACGGCCGCCTAGATAAAGATATGACCTGCGATCTCATTTCACACGGTCCATAGCCACATGAGGCTTACCACTTGGAACTGCCTGCAAGGATGTATCCTTCATTGCCAACCAACTTCACAACACAAATTGGATACCAGAGGAAAATATTTTTTTTATTTAGAAAAAAAAGTGAAAACTACTTTTAAACTTTTCAAAATGCATTCCTGTACATGAGAAGTGTGAACATGTGTGCAAGATTAAGAATGCAAAAAGGCCTGATGCATGAACATCTATAGAATATGACTTTCTACAAGACGTCTGGCCAGGATACATAATTGACCAGGGCTGAAAGGTGACGGTCGGATATGTGACATTGTACTATACAACAAACTCTCCATCAAGGCCCGGCGCTCACCTGGGATGTGACGGCGTGCGAGATGACTGCGCCATGGGCGGTGAGTTTCTCCTTGAGCTGTAGCCGCTGACGTCGGGGCCACGAGGGGAGGTCCAGTACGATGAAGCAGGCCGAAAACAAGCCCATGGTACTTCGACGCCAAGCGCACGCTAGCGGCCTCTCTGCACACGAGGGGGGGAAGGGGGGGACACGTGCACATGAAGAGATGGAAGGATTGGTGCAAAGGTGCTTTCTGCTGATGTTAGGTGTACACTGGAATTGTAATCTAGAGCAATGCTTCGCAATCGGTGTGCTGTGGAAAATTCCCAGGTGTGCCATGGAATTTTTGGAATTACAGGAAAAGATAGAATTTAAAGACCCCACCTCCTACCCCCTCTCCATTGGTCAGGCATGTGCAGGACTGCAGACAGCCGTCATCCCCCACCCCCAGCCCTCTCAACTCACTTGAGCGCGCATATGCAGTTAAAGAGACACATGCGGATACAGATGCACACACAAAGAAAAATACAGAGACGCGAAAACACGTATAGAGAGACACAGATACGGAGTTACACACACAGGGAGACACTCAAGAGGCAGAAAAAAGGGGAAAAACCATATTATTATATTTTGGTACTGGCAAATGAGGTCTAATGATGTAAATGTTCAGGAATCTCGATGCCAATGTGTGGGTCTGCTCGCCGCCACAAAAGGGGGCTTCGGGAGTTGCGAGGTGGCGTCGTTGTGCTCGAGGAGGAATGCCGAATTAAGTGGATGAAACTGTTGTCTTCACTGGATGTCCTCAAAAGATGCAGAGATTCAAAGGTAATAAATACCACACACAGTTAAAGTAACTCATCACATTAAGTCACTGAAAGTGAATCAAATAATACATAAAGCTCGTGAATTGTTGCTAAAAGAGAGAATACAGGATAATAGAAGTGAGCTTGAATTTAAAAGAAATACAAAATTATGTTAACCGTTCTGATAGCTACCGACCTAGTGCTGCGTGGAAGCGAATTATGATCAAATACTACATTGTTTAAATGCATGCCTCTGCAGGCCACCATACTTCAATCGGGATCACCGTTGGCACGGCTATTCATTAACCCCCCCCCCCCCCCACGTTGCGCAAGAAGAGCGCTCGGGTGTGGTCACCACACCTACGCCTCCAGTTGCAGACGTCCTCTTTGGAGGCCACACATTTACATTTATGAACACCAACACAGAATGACAGCCTATGGTGGTGACCACCAGGCTAGCTACACCAATCACGTGGTCACTAGTGGAGTGCCACGGCCCTGAGTAACCCCGTCTCCATGGCCGGCACTCCCGCACCCTATCCTGTAGGGGTCGGCACTGCACTCCGAGCGTGGTGCCACCCAGCGCTGTCAGCCAGCCTTTATGACCGGCACCACACCCTCGTGGTGCCCGCGATGTCGCCACTCCGCACGCGGTGACCCTCTATGGCCGGCACCACACCCACACCCACGTGGTGCTCGCGATGTCGTCACACCACACACGTGACCCTCTATGACCGGCACCACAGAGCAACATCCCACGACGTCACGACATAAACAACGAAACAGGTGGAGGACTTCTCCACAAATCTGGCTGCCGCCTGATGAAGCTGGTTGTAATTACTGGCGAAATGTCGTACTCGGATTGTAAATGTTGTGGCTTGGCTCTCCAACACACTACCGGTGTGCTGTACTAGAATACTACACTATACACTACACTATACACTAGTGCTGTACTAGTATACTATACACTAGTGCTGTACTAGTATACTACACTATACACTAGTGATGTACTAGTATACTACACTATACACTAGTGCTGTACTAGTATACTACACTATACACCACACTATACACTAGTGCTGTACTAGTATACTATACAATACACTATACACTAGTGCTGCACTAGTATACTACACTATACATTAGTGCTGTACTAGTATACTATACACTACACTATACACTAGTGCTGTACTAGTATACTACACTATACACCACACTATACACTAGTGCTGTACTAGTATACTATACACTACACTATACACTAGTGCTGTACTAGTATACTACACTATACATTAGTGCTGTACTAGTATACTATACACTACACTATACACTAGTGCTGTACTAGTATACTACACTATACACTAGTGCTGTACTAGTATACTACACTATACACCACACTATACACTAGTGCTGTACTAGTATACTACACTATACACTACACTATACACTAGTGCTGTACTAGTATACTACACTATACACTACACTATACACTAGTGCTGTACTAGTATACTACACTATACACTACACTAGTGCTGTACTAGTATACTATACACTACACTATACACTAGTGCTGTACTAGTATACTACACTATACACTACACACCAGGGGCGGTTTCTTCATTAGGGCGATTGGGCGACGCACCACCAATGTCATTCAACCACAGAGTCACGCTAGCCGTCACTGTCAGCCTCTGGATATAGTCCAATCGGCGTCATGTCACGTTCTGTGGAGTACCGCCTCTTTTGGGGCGATTTCACTCCGGCTGAGAATCGCCCCGAGTGGCCCCATAGACTTACATTCAAAGATGTTTTTTTTAGAACGGGGGCGCTGCAATGCATTCTCTATGGCTCCGGGAGGGCAAGCCCCAACGTGCTCACGTCATCATACGTGGTTACGTCATCATACGTAAGCACGTTTCATCCAACAATATAATTTGTGGCCACCTAGTGGAATCCTTAATAAAATAAACTTGAGTGGTTTGTTTTAATAGTGAGTATAGAAACAAACAAGATGTATTGTAAGAGTCACTTTATTTTTCATTAATATTAAAGAAGTGAAGTTGCCTTTACATGCTTAAGCTGTTAATTTATCCATTGCATGGGTGGACCTTATCCTTATCAATCATCCAGACATTTGCCCCCCCTGAGAGATTTTGCAGGAGCCGCCACTGCTACACACTAGTTATGTACTATACACTAGTGACGAATTGTCACGTTCTGTTTACGTGACAACCCTTACTCGTTGGCTGTGTCGGGTGGTGGCGGGTTTCACGGCACATTTAGAGATTACGCAGCTACGATCGCCACGGCAGACGGTGAACACGCGCGGCTCGCACTCTGAGCGCCGTGGCACGGACATGTCCACGCTGCAGCAGCAACAGCAGTGGCAGCAACAGCAGCGGCAGCAGCATCAGCGGCAGCGGCGGTCATCGCGAACGTTTTGGTCAAACCATCATCACACGACGCCGACTGGCACACACACAACATACATGCCTGTGACATCCAGACGCGGGCTGCGTGGACCAAGTGGTTGCTCCTACTGCTGTTGTTGTTGTTGAGGTGGTTGTTGTTGTTGTTGAGATCTGTGTCGCTGTGACAGGCAGGCAGGTGGAGGCTGCGTGGATCAAGTGGTTGCTCCTACTGATGTTGTTGAGGTTGTTGTTGAGGTGGTTGTTGTTGTTGAGATCTTTGTCGCTGTGACAGGCAGGCAGGTGGAGGCTGGGCGTGTGAGGAAGTAACCCTCGACTCCCACAGCGCCAGCCACGCGCCTCGCCTGACTAATGCCCGGCCCCCCCCCCAACCAATCCACGCGGGTTCGCCACGATACGGCGATACCACGATACGTTATCGTAGGACGATATACGATAATCGTATCGTCCGTGTCGAAGTTCATATATTGCGATTATCGTTACTCGTGTTAATTTTTGTAATATTTTAATTCATGCCCCCCTCCCCGTACAAATGATGTACGAATAATATAATTATTGTCATATAAATGCTTTAACATGTGAAATTATTGCTCTGTAAATAAATACATTGAACGTGGGTTTTATAGAGTACAATACACGCAGTACAATGCAAGATGGGATGACATCAGCCACCACCCGGAACAAAAACACGTTCGAGCCGCCGCGTGTGTTCCGCCCGGACGCGGCGTGCGCAGCATGGCGGCGCCCATGGGGAGGCGGCATGGCCTCAGCGTGTCGCGGTGCGTCGAAGCTGTAGAGGAGCTGCTGATGAGACACGCGGCGCCGAGGCCAAAGCGACTTCCCGAGCAGCTCGCGGAACACGCGGAGCCGCCGGGGAAGGCGCGGTGCTCGCGAGAAACCCGCCCGGCGCGAGTGTTCAAGGAGCGCAGTGCAAGGCACCTCAGGCAGAGGGACCTGGTGGTGCCCAAGGGGGTGCTGGAGATGTTGTTTGAGGGGGGCCAGGTACTGCAATGGCTCTCGCGCAGTTCCAGACACGAGCAGGCGCAAGCCGACACCAGTTGGGGTGCTCGTTTTACTCGGCGAGTCATGATGATGAGTTGTCACGAGCTCATTCATTCATCACACATAGCGTAGAACCGTTGCACCAAACGTGTGACCCCTTGCGACAGCATTCGCTTAAACTGATCTTGCTTGCCATACACCGGCGTCTCGACTGATTTGTTTGATACACGGATCACGGGGGCGTTTCGGAGTCAAGTTTTGGCAAAACAATCGATCCAATGTTTTGCCTGAGTCTTAACGTTTTTATAATTGTTGGATGAGCGTTTGGTTATGGTTCACACAGCTTAAGGCTCAACAACGACTTTCCCAAGTTGACATGTTTACCTGCAGGCTTTCCCCATATTCGCGTCAGACAACATTCTACGATCCATGCAGATTTGATCGCTAAATGTCCAAAGCGGGACCACACGGGATTTACAACGTCTAAAGTTGATTCTAGATTTGAAGCTTTCGTGGCTGCAAGGATTCATATTCTTAGGTTTTTTCGGTAAAGTCACGTAGGTAAAAAATTTAAATTAATAATAGTAAAATAAAAATCACGACGTTTCGGAGGCAACACAAGCTTCCGTCTTCAGGTGGAATCGTCACAGCACGATACCTACATAACTTTAACGAAAACACCTAAGAATAAGTCTAAAGTTGAGTTTGCCCGCTGTGTGTGCGCAGGTTCCTAGCGCGTTCATCGCCGATCTGATGAGCTCGCATGATCCCAGGCTGCCCACCGTTACCGACTGCGTGCAGACAGAGAGCGGCCTGGCTGTTCGGTTCGATCGGCGCGAAGTGTACAGCAGGGTACTGGGAAGACCCCCCGTATCGGACCTCATGAGTGATGCTCGCACATCAGAAGGCCACAGGGCGTCACTTGAAGGCACGGCAGACCTACCGTCTGTTAAAACGCTCTCGCTGAACTGCTGTTTGCCAAATGAGCGCTCGTCGAGCGAGGATGATTATTGTTGCGAGTGTCAGGAACATGGGAATTTACCAGAAGTTGCAAAGCGAGAACTCCGAAGTTGCGTGGTGGTCAACTGTCCGTGTCTGCACCGATGCGAGCCGCTCACACCAGGGCATCTGCGCTGTGTTCTCCTGGCCCATCAGCTGTCAAGACTGCTTTCGCTTGATGGGTGAGGATGACCCGATTATTACATAGTGCGCGTCCCATTGCATTGATACATCGGGAAAACAATCTAGATTTGAAGTTTTCGTGACTGCAGGGATCCATACTCTTTGGTTATTTAGGTAAAGTCACGTAGGTATGAAATTAATTAAATCACGACGTTTCGGGCGCTTGTGTTGCGCCCGACACGTCGTGATGTAATTTATTTTATACCTACGTGACTTTACCGAACGAACCAAAGAGTATCGGGAAAACAGTTGCATCCACTTCTCATGGTCTTGTGCCACCACTTGGAACTCTTCCCACATAACACCTGTAGACGCTATAACCTGTACTGATGGGGCAAATGCTGTATTACTGAGGCGATTGATATATGAAAATCTAGACTACCACCCGTGATTAAACTGGATTAAGTGCGATTAATTTATTGTCACAGCCCCATCACCAATGACTGCACAAAAACACTCGATAAAATTTCGTTTTCACGTAATGTGGGAAAAAAAATCTACTTTTAGAACAACCATTTTGCTATTAGGAGGTGGAAATGAGCACCACCCTTCAGTGTGTAGTCCAGTGATAGCTCCTGTGGGCTGTTGCCTAACACGGGGTGGGTAATGCACAACTCTGCAAGAGTTACAAATTGATTCTTCATCTCATGATGCCGATAGCACAATCGGAGTAAAATTGGGAATGAGACTTCAACATTCAACAAATGTGTCAAGAAACTAAATGTGAGATAACGGAAGTAACGTGAAAAATAAATGTGACGTATAGTACTGTAGTAGATGAACGCTTGTGCCATATTGACTTTGCATTCAGTTTAAACTCTTTGCTGACCCTTTGATCGTCGATATAAGATTGAGACGTGCTTTGTATATTATGTGCGCAGCTATCACGTGTACAAATGTCCAGCCATCAAGGAAGGGGCACACGTGGAGGTCCTGAAACCACTCCGGGTTGAGTGGCCGACATTAGCAGCCGAGAAAACGGCAGCGCACGGTGACTCTGGTCCTCTCACCGACCCCGTGGCAGAGTGCCGTTCGAGGCTCCTGCAGTCAGGGTTCGCGGAGCCAATGGAGAGGCAGAGTGCGACCGAAACCAAACTCTCACGCCGTTCCGAGCCGGAACCGGAAACAAACAGGAAGAAGGAGCAAGCGGAGAGGGAAACCAGAGTGACGAACGAGGCAGAAGCAGCTCGTTCATCTCCTGATCAGATGTACAGAGTCAACCTCCAGCAGTTTGTGAGCACGCGTTGCCTTGAAGGGATGGACCCAAATCTTAACACCGTCTTGGGTAAATATAAGGCGTGCAGGAATGCACTGATCCCTCGATTAAAATAGATTCTTACGCTTACAATATATGCAACTAATCGTGTGTGTCAGAATTGATTGTTTACAATTAATGCGAATGAATTGCTAATTATAGGCTCAGGAAGTGAAACATCTTATGGGACAAAATAAATAAATGCTAACAAAACGGTAAAGTGAGACCAGAATTGATTCTCTCATCAATTCTTCAAAATCGCTACAGAAGGGGAAAATTAATCAATACATGTCGAGTACATATGTTCCTTGCACATTCAGATTTTGTACTGTGTTGAACGAACAGCATCTCACTTTTGGGTTTGACACGGCGGTGATTCTTTGTGAATCTGATTGGATGTTTAAACGTTGTCTGTGCTGTGGGTTTCATGCAGTTGATGACGATTACTTGGCTCAGGTGGTCGAGTTGGAAGCTGCACTGAATGGCTGCCATGGCGGTGAGGTAAGTTTTCCTGTCTGCGCACACTCACTGGATGCCCCTTGGTCATAATGCTCCACTGTACTTGCAACCCAGAGGTCACTAGTTCGATTTCCTGGCACCCCATTTGAAATAATCGTGCAAGTTTCTTAAATCCCTCCCCCCCCCCCGAACCATTAGCCCTGGTGGCGAGCTGTTAACGACCTCATCTGGTATGCAGGAGGACGTGGGTTCAATCCCAACCCTGACACGTATATATTTATAGTTAGCGTGTTCTCCCCGTTGTTGCATGTATTTTTCTCCGGATCCTCTAGTTTTTCCCTCCACATTTAGTATCAACATGCGTTTTTAATATCAACATGCGTTTAGAGTATTTGGCTTCTATACATTTGCACATGATAAGCCACTTCGTTGAGCTATCATTTGTGGCCAGGTCGCTTCTGAAAAAGAGCTATATAGGTCAGTGGGCCTTACCTGGTAAAATAAAAAGTGGTTTTAGTTTAGAAGAATCAATGGGAATACCAGAGTTGGTCAATCCGCTAGTCATATGTACTGGTGGGGTAACGTGAATTCAGTTCCAAATTCAGTTTCTGAAGAAGATCCCATAATGTGGGGTGAAACGTCCACCAATGCTCAACACCAGATGGGACAACCCACAGAAACATTGAAGAGCTATACAGCACAACTGATAAAACCTACACAGTGATACAAAATCAGTTTGCTACTGCATTTCCAGTGTGTTCATTGCATGTCTGTTTATGTTTTCAGACACGTCTTTTGCATATCGTTTGTTGCGAAGAGGAGTTTAACCAGCAGAAAGTTGACTTGCTTCTTCAGTTGGTTGGTCAGAGTGATGCTGTGAAGATGCAGGTGAACTCCACATTGAAACAAAAGCAAAAGCGTCAGGCAAACATCACGTACAAGTTGAATAAATGTTCACTGCAACAGTGCACTGCTCTCTGGCCTTCACTGGTGTCGTCAGCCCATTCACCATACCCTCCCTGTATGTGCTTATGACCCATATGATTCACTATGCATGGCTATTGCTCACGATTCGTTGTACACAACTGTGTTTCAAAAGAAATATTTTGCACTGAGCGTCAAATATAATTTGAAACAATGATTTAATTCAGCCATCTACGAATAATGCCTGCTCTAGGGGCTAGTTGCGTGACACCTTTGAGAGTCAATACATATTCTGGACTCATTTCATAAAAACAATGTCTGTAGTATTGATTTTGCTTTGGAGAAAATCACCGACCAGCCTGCAACGTATCATGTATTCTTTGCAACAGAGGCACGTGGTGGTTGGCAGTGTGAAGACGGGAGAAGAGACTTCGCAGGTTAACGCGCTTGAATATTTACGGTACGCTACTTTTATCGTGGGGGGAGCGTTTGGTGCAGTGCTTTTCGTGCCGAGCTGTAAACCCGGAGATCCAAGTCTCATTCCCAGCCATGGCTCACATCAGCCGTGGGTGCTGTCTGCACAAATCCTGGGCCACCCCTTCACCGGCCTGTGCTCACCAGCGTGGGGAAGTATGGCCAAATAACGCCCGTGCCTGACATGGGGTGGAGTGGCTTTGATCTGGCAGTGGACTTACAAAGGGCTGTCAATTATTATAATTATTAAGGGATTTTAATTAACTTGGGGTCACATCAAAATATGTTTAAATGTGTTACAACACGATATACTTGAACACTCTACATTGTATTGGATGGAAAATAGATGTATCCCACCCAGAAATTATATTTGAATTTTTGTTTTATGTTTTCTGTAAAGGAAACTGTTCAACCGTTAAATTATTTCCAAACTTTGCAATTCGACAGTGTACCTGCTGCTCTAGACAAAGCTCCAATTACACGTGCTGTTTTGTCTGCGCATTCATATACAGTCCACTGTCAGATGTGGGCCTCTGAGTGTTACTTGACCATGCTTCAGCATGCTAGTCAGTGTGGGTTTGTGAAGGCGATAATTCACACGTGTTTCCTCTGCTGTTGGTGACATCAGACCTGGGTACTCTTTCTACCTTCCTCAGGTCGTACGTGGAATACACCAGAGCCGCTTGCTGTCCCTCTTCTTAACCAAAGTGTTCTCTTGCAGGCTCCGCCGAGCACAAATGAAAGAGGCTTCAGTTATGAAATACGGGAACTCGGTGCAAGGTACGATCGTCTGTCTGCTGCAGGGGTAGGGGACCTGATCCTTACTAAAGCCCGAATAAAGCCTTTAGATAGATACCTTTGGCATGCAGCCACACATTAACACACATCTGTGGGTTATTCCATAAAGCAAAACAGTATTACGGTTCACCTTTGCAAGTGCCTGAACTTAGAAACACGGTGTTCCCTTGTTGAAAATAAACCCTCCTAAAGTATTTGATTAGTGCGGCTAAGATGCTGGCAGTGATGGATACATCTCTTTGTGGGCTCAGCGGTGTGGCCTCGTGTGGCCGTCTGAAATTAAGTTGACGGCCATATCTGGCCCACAGGTCATAGGGTTTTTTCACCTCTGTAAAACGATCAAGCAAATCAACTCTTTGTTCATAGTATCAAAGTATCCCCTAGCTCCAACAAACATTATCGGATGCTCATTTCTGTTGGCAGCTGATTACAAATGGTGGATATTCAACATTTTTATATCAGGGGCCTCTCTCTGAAAGTTGGATGGATATATGTTTCGTACATAGCTGAACGTGCGAATCGGAGATGCTTCCTTATAAGCTGACCACTCATGTCTAGTCAACAGAGTGGTACTCATTTGACAGATAATGGAGGGACCGGTGGCTCTGACCAAATCAGATCTCAGAAGCTTTGCAAGATTGAACCTTGATAATGCTTGGGTGGGCACCCACTAAGCATAAACACAAATGTAACACTATCAGTAGAGGGCAGTGCAGCTCAATATTTGTTTATATTGCACGATGTTCCAACATCTCAGCTCCCCACCTGATGAGCTTGATGAAGTATGGTTAAATAACTCCTATGACCCGCACGGTGTCGGTAGGCCATCATTCAGCAGTGAATTGACAAAACGGCTGTACGTGTACATGAAGGGATGAATGTGTGAGGTGTTATTAACGTGGTGGATGGGAGTGTTGTTTAACCAGCTGACTGGCCGGACCGTGTCACGTTCACAGGCCCCGAGTGGGAGGAGATTATCGACGTGATGACCGCAGCGACGGTGAAGTTTGAGCTGCTGTCCTCGGCTCACCGCAGCACGGTGCGCTCATTCCACACGGCGGCGCCGTCCCACTCGCCCTTCATCTCACATCTTCACATCGCTCAAACAAAACGAGAGAGGTGTCCAGGGGGGGGCTCTGAGGTCAGAGCGTCGAGCTGGCGCCGTTGGCGTCCTGCGCTGGAATCCAGGCAGCCGCCTGCCGCCATTAAACCGGTTCCCCAAATGCAGCGAGTTAGCGGTCGAAGCCAGGGGTCAGCAACCAAAGTAACAATAAGCAAATTTTTTCCGAATTCAGTAAAAAAAATTAAGAGCCGCAATGCGTAATTCACGTGGATACGAGAGAGTGGCCCTTAAAGAGCCACCGCATGCGGCTACAGAGCCGCAGGTCTAAACCCAGTTACCAATGACTACCAAAAAAACCCCCATCACATTCTCTCGGAGGTTGAATGGCACTGGGTCAATTCATTCCTTCATTCGTTCATGCAAAGCCACCCAATACGTAAGAATATTTACGACGTAACAATCCTCAAATTAACTTTTTACTTTCCGCCATTCGTTCGTTCCATCGCTAATTCCGTCACGTGTGCACACCTGCAGCTGCCGCTGGAGCTCGGCGAGGGTGCGGAGAGAGCGAGCGCCGCCAGGGGACGGCGGAGCGGCACATTCGTCATGTACAACGCGGCGCGTCTCTCCACGCTCTTCCAGAACTACCGCACGGCCGTCAAACAAGGTCCCGCGCTCAATGAAAGTGCAGCGGCAGCAGCGGAATTAGTGGCAGCAGCAGCTGCTAGGACTACTGCTGCAGCGAGCAACATGACCACTTCACGATGTCACTTTTTGTTTTTGTTTGGTTGTTGCTTGGACTAAAATTTTGATCCAGCTGAAAGTCATTACCAGCGTTAATTGTGTAAATGAAATTAGTGACAAACACATTCAACGCAATCTGTTCTTTAAACCAGTCAACGGTGAATCTTTGAGTGGGCAAAATCATCAGGTGTAAAGATGACTATGACGATGATTGCCCGCCATTTGTATGAAGAAACATACCAAGATAGATTAGTAACGTCATTAAAAACTGCAATGCATTGAGAAAGACCGAATGTGGATATTAACTCGACTGTAAATGTATATTACAAGATTTACAGAGTTCACTGATTGACTGACTTGATAATATTGGGTGGAGGTTTAATTGCGCGCCCCTAACACCCAACGTTTAATAACCAAGAGTGAACTAATTTTGACTGCTTTGTTTCACTTTCAGAATGGCGAAATAAAATCCAGAGACTAAGATTTGGATAACTTAAAAAAATTAATGACTTAATTAAGACTGCTTTGTTTACGCAACTTTTGTGTAAACAACCCAGGGAATAACATTTCATCTTGATAATTGCTTGAGTTGGAACATCTTGTTTGCACTGGTGTCTGGGTGTCAGATGACCCATACATGTAGTAAACACGTCACATACAAACAGTTTAATCCCTACAACTTGTGCAGTATACATTTATGCGTTGGATATAATGATGATTTATGACCTTGGAACTATCATTTTTTAGTGTTAATGTATTCTCACAAAATTTCCATGCTTTTCAAATTCACCATTTGATGAAAGTTGAGAATTTTTTTGTTGGGTATTATTTTTGTACTGTAGTAAGTATGGTTAAAACAGTAACATGTGCATTTTATTTACCACCTAATTTCTCACGTTATGCATACGTGTTCCCTCAATATCTATTGGCCAATGCAGGAATGTACCCAAAGTTTCCTGAAGTATCTTCGTTGGATTTCTCGCTGCTGAATGAAGAGGTAAATTAAACACTTTGTGACTAACGATGCCCTATATTCACATTGCTGAAGATTAAACATTGCTAGAACCGCAAACACACGGGTGTGGGTAAGCATTACAATAAACACAAAGCAAATAAATGACGGTGCTATCGGTCGGTCGTGTTCGTGGGTCACACTTTAGGAAGAATGGCGCCTTCTCTACAACTACATCGTTCCGTTTGGGGAGCTGCTTTCTCGTTCGTCTCATCTGGAACCGGCGCGGGGAATTCACGCGACCGCGCACACGGACGTGGTACCAAACAAGCCGCCCTGGTTTTTCCATTTCACAAAACGTGCCCCTCGCGTGTCAGCGAGCGTCAGCGGAGCAAAGCGCCAAACGCTTTGAAAGCCACACAATGTCGCGCCGAGGGGGCCGCTATTCAAATTGTACAGTGCTTGAGTCAGCATCGCTGGGGGGGTTTAATAATAACCGTGCATTCGATTGCGGAACAGCAAGTCCGCCTTCCGGAATGTCTGGCTTAAATAAATAATCTATTGTTCTGTTGACATTTGGTGTTCACTCATTGCAAGAAAACGTGCTTGGGTGCCTCGCAAATGAACACATTTCCATTGCAATGACATCATTGCAGAATGACTGCATGCCCGAGCCACGCTCGAGTCCATTCGCAGTCCCGGCACATTGGTGAAAATTCCACATTGCTACGGTGGCTAGAGCACCGCACTACGAAACCCACCATCCTAAGTTCAATTCCCAGCTACGACTAATCGCAATGGTGAGGGATATATGAAACGGTCCCGGCCACCACCTCCTCCACCAACCAATGTGGTGAAGTATGGTCAAACATCCTCCATGACTGACATGTAGGGAGGCCTTCATCTAGCAGTGGATTGACAAATTCCTGAAAATGTTCTCAATTATGTAAATAAATTAATCATTTTAAAGGATTGGTACGTGTGCTTTACAGATATCACTGTTAGATTGTACCCCTTATCCTCTGTACAACTGAGCCACGCTGGGGCCGTGCCAAGCCAGCTCAGCTCAGAAGGCGCCAGGTAGTTTTTCCACGACAGAACCCAAGCCGTGCCACGGATGTCACACGCATTGAATGTGTCATTAGTCCCACACCTGGCCCTGCTTGGCCCCAAGCCAGATTTAGGTGTCTTGTGAGGTGAGCTTTTGATGGTTTGTTAGTGGCTCGGCTCAGCAAACAGCCACTTGAAAAGCACCTGTATCACGAGAGCTCCCGCGCTGGCATGGTTCAGATGTGCAAGTGGAAAAAGAGTTATTCGTTGTGAATTGTGACTGCCGTTATTAATGCTTAAGATTCTTAGGTGGTAGTGGAGTCAATGGCAATGGCAGTTATGGGGTCGCAGTGATGCTATAAGTGAATTGTTTGCGATGTCGTAGTGTTTTGCTCTGCCCTCCCTGCTTTACACACAGCTCTACAAGTTCCTGGTGGAACTCAGCATGGACTTCAGCTCCTACTACAACCGGGTTCGCGTCCTCTCTGTGAGTAATCAACACAGACAGCTGACTCATGATTTAAGATTCTGTCTTTATTTTGTGCATGTAGGCATTGTGTAGTTTTACATCTCATTCCTTGGGGCTGTGCATTTCCACGAAGTAACTTTTATTTTAGATATTTGTGTTATCATTTGAAATGTTAGTTTTTTGCACACATTAATCACTTAAGATAAACATGTAATTCTGAAGCATAAACAGTCATATTTGAGAAGAAGCAACACTGACAACAATTCTGCAGTTATTTTCTTCATAATTTGGGTACAAATTATACGAAGAGTAGCTTCATGTGTCCGTAACAGTTGCTAACCAGGAGATGCATTGGCAGAGGGCCCCACTCAGAATCAGAAATTTGAGAGTGCAAACCAGTGGCATAGCATGGTTGTATGTGTATGTATGTATTCATGTTGACCTTCTTTCGTACCGTACGTAGCCAACCGTGCTAATCAGAGGTGCGGGGGAAGGACAACAAACTAAACACAAAATATGTTGTAAAGAAATGAGTTTTTAATTCTAGGGGCATGGAGCCTGGTGCAAAGGCATGAAATGGAGGCCCCCTGTCTATAAGCCATCCTCTGTACCATCTGTTGATCTTCCACGAAACTCATGGTCCACCATAAATTGCATCCACTGCACAAACAATGGCAGATGCGGATACCTGATGCACAAAGGGAAAATTAGAAACTCTCCAGTCGTGTGCGGCTGTGGTCATTCAGAGCAGAGACCCTACAACGTGTTATGACGCAATGCCCCGGTCCACACAAACATACGAAGGAGACATCACAACGATGATACACTCTGCTGCTCCTGACGCGGTTATCTGGCTTAGCCACCTGAATGTGACATTGTAGTTGGTGCTCTTCATCTACATTAGCCGTACGAAAGAAGAAGCGTCCCCTCCGGCCGATGGGCCCCATTGCAGTTACACCTCCTGCACACTGAATAGCCACGCCACTGTTTCAGACCCTGGCTGGAGTGTCACCTCAGCCTATCATGTGATGAGTACCACTTTGTGGAAGGTCAACAGTGGTTGTCTTGAGGACTGACTGACTCCTTCCATATGAATGTGGAATTTTCACCATTGAATGTACGGGGGGGTTTCATTTATTTAGAACTGCTTTTTGTCTTCAGTTGTCCTTCCCCCGCACCTCCGATCAGCTCGGTTGGCTACGTACGGTGTGAAAGAAACTCAATGTACGTACAAGGCTGAGCAACTCACCCACGTGCCCCTTTGCGATTGCCCAGGAGCCCGTGCCGCACCTGTCCGGGATCATGTTCGCCCGGCTCCGGCTGCTCGAGCGTCTCCAGGAAGTGATGCACGCCGCAATGGCGGCCTTCGGCCTCCCGCCATTGAAACAGATTTGACGCGGCCTGGCGCTGGGTCACGGTCGTGGGTCTGAGCCGCAATAAGACAAATGTGACGGGCTGCGTTTCTGAAGTACGAGCCAAAGGTGGGGAAGCTGTGACCTACGGGCTGAATACAACCCTCGACTTCCTTTCACCTTGCCTTTAGACACAATTTTAAATGGTCCGCAAAATATATTTATCCATCACTGCAAACATCTTAGCCGCACTAAACCGGTACTAGAGGGGAATTTTTTTAACCTGGCAACACCGTGTTTATGATTTTAGACGTCTCGCAGTGGCAGAGGTCACAGAGCTGTGGGTGTTGGCGTGTGGCGCGCCGCCAAACACGTTTGAAAGTCCGGTTCGGCTCTCGGTGGTGAGGGGAAAGCTGTCCCCATAGATCCACTGCGTGGGTGAGCCAGCCTGCTACAGGATGATGAGGCGCTGCTCGTAAGCCGTACACAGAGTAGGTTGTTGACCTGTCAGTGTGGAATTTAAGTGTCCATGTCGTGTGTGGGTTACTCCCACGATTGTAAATGCATGGATGGTGAGGTAAAGGTGGAGCCCTGCAATGTTTTGCTCATGTCACTGCTGCTGGCAGAAGAGCCTTCACGAGAGGGAGCTCTCGCAGGGCCCCTATCGAGGGTATTTTGCCTCCTTTTTCTCGGTGGCCGTACATTTTGGCAGAGGTGGGATTACTACACGATCCACGGTGCACTACTACCCCCCTATACTGCGCCGCAGATGGGAATTAACCAAAGGTTTTAAGCAAGACCCTGCGCAAGAGTTCACTCGTTCCTGCGTAAACAAAATGCATTATTGTGGTGACCGTCCATTCTCCTGAACGGAGTCATTAATGACCACACATTAGGTTTGTGCACCACTTTGTTTATGGCCCCGAGGTGGTCGTTCTTTCTAACCATAACCACCCCCCCCAGAGCCAGCATGCACAGCTTCTCGCCCTCCCACGAGTCAACCAACCCCTCCTGTGTGTATTCATCGTGAAAAAGTTCAACCAACTCAATACAATCCCAACATTTAACTCTGCAAATGAAGACCGGTGTGTTTATTAATGTTGGACTGTATCATGCGTTGAGTTGCTGCACCGTCCCGCGTATTGTCCCGACAAGCACAGGGCACAATCCAGTGTCCCGCTTAATGCGACACTGCCGTGCCGCTGAGAACAAAAACCACCAAATTAAAGGTACGGACGGACGTGTCCCCTACTTTGTGATTCAGCCAAAACTTTAAGTGGAATTGGACCTAGACATGAACATTCGCATGATCCGAATGTGTCACGTCACAGGAATGGATGTGACGTCACAGGAATGGATGTCACGTGCACGACGCCACAGCCACGAGTTTCACACCAAATCGGCGTTAGGTGTCGCGGGCCATCGGGTGACGTCACCTTTCGTTAGCACGAAGACGCTTGCGTAACTATTACATTCTTACATTTAACATTATTACTTAACGTAAATGACCTGTTACGATATATGAAATTGTCCTTAATCTGAAATGTTTTCATCCGACACTCATCCCTAATAAAGCGAAAAGCTACACAATGCAACACGGTCTGGTCAAGCATTGTACTGAGTGTAATTTAAACACTTTAGTGATGTATTTCAGACCACGATATGACAAACACGACACTTCAGGGAACAAGATGCCACATCCATGTTCCTCTCTTTACAAATGGAACAATTTTTCATGATTAATGGAACAATTTTTCATGATTAATGTAACATTTTAGACGCATACATCACATTACAGTAACATTGTACGTTTCTGCATTCATCGCTGAACGTATTTTGCTTGCAACGAATGAACTAAAATAAACGCCATAACCATTAGGCGCACTGAACATGCAAGTGTGTCACTCGCTTTCATTTCTAGAACTGGTAAAGTGCAACACTAAGCTGCATTTGGTTGTGCAAATTACCATGCACAAACACAAATTGGAGTTTGTGTGTAAATTTATTTCAAAGAAGTTAATATACTGGCTTTGCTACACGATGTATTATCGTGTATTGTTTACTGTGATAGAAAAAGGAAGTACTGTATAATTGCTTCTTTAAAAACGAAACATTTAAATCAACATGTCAGCCTGTAGCAAGGCCTACCTCTGGCAATAATAAATCAGGATGCTACCTTAAATGCCCTCTCGTTAATCTGAAGCGTTCTACCAGTGGTCTCCGCCTGGTGCACTTCAAGTGGTACCGGTGTACGAAATCATTCATCTTTCCCATATTGCAATTCACAATCGTGCTGTGCGCAGTTTGGAAAATCAGGGATAGAGATCCAGTATCGTGGCGTTGAATTCGTGTCAAATCTCACCATGCTTCGTTTTCTTTGGCCACGATCCCTGCATGGCCTGGCCCTTCCCTGTCATCTCACTCTGCTCTGCTCCACACACTCTCAACTTTCCACTCTCATCTCACTCTACTCCCCTCCATACACTCTCCACTCTCCATCATCATCTCACTCTACTCCCCTCCACACACTCTCAACTCTCCCCCCTCATCTCACTCTGCTCCCCTCTACACACTCAACTCTCCACTCTCATCTCACTCTACTCCCCTCCACACACTCTCAACTCTTCACTCTCATCTCACCCTACTCCCCTCCACACACTCCACTCTCCATCATCATCTCACTCTGCTCTGCTCCACACACTCTCCACTCTCATCTCACCCTACTCCCCTCCACACACTCCACTCTCCACTCTCATCTCACTCTACTCCCCTCCACACACCCTCCACTCTCATCTCACTCTACTCCCCTCCACACACTCTCAACTCCCCACTCTCATCTCACTCTACTCCCCTCCACACACTCTCCACTCTCCACTCTCATCTCACTCTACTCCCCTCCACACACTCTTAACTCTCCATCATCATCTCACTCTACTCCCCTCCACACACCCTCCACTCTTCACTCTCATCTCACTCTACCCCCCTCCACACACTCTCCACTCTCATCTCACTCTACTCCCCTCCACACACTCTCCACTCTCCATCATCATCTCACTCTACTCCCCTCTATACACTCTCAACTCTCCACTCTCATCTCACTCTACTCCCCTCCACACACTCTTAACTCTCCCCTCTCATCTCATTCTCATCGTGCTCCCCACCCTATCCCCTCTCGTTTTGCTCTACTCTCCTCCACACACTCTAATACCTCTCCCCCCTCATCTCACTACTGCCCACAATGCACTCTCCTACCATTCACAACTCTCACAAGCTAGCATTGCATCACCCTGTAAGATGATTTCACAGGATGCCCTCAAGTAATTCAAGGAGGCCTCTTAATTTACTCAAGGTTGTTTTCATTATTACTAAGTACACATTTTAAATCCCTTGTTCACTGCTTCTAAAACCAATTTATTTTTTCTTAACTAATAAAAAAACAAATTGAGTGCAAAACCCCAAATTGAATTTGAAATGTCTATAGGTTATTTGGTGACTGGGATCAGGCCATACACTCGCTACACTCGAGAAGTCGGCTCAATTGTGGATTGCTAATACTCAGACTTGAAACGAGGATCTCAGCTGTGCTGGTTCAGTGCTTTGACACATTGCTAACCCCACGGGGCACCTCGCTTAGACTTCACACCTGCGGTTGCAGAAGATGATCTGAAGACGATTGCTTGTGTTGCGATCGAAACGTGATTTATTTTATTTTATTCTTTTTCTATCTATGTGACTTTACCGAAAGCTCCAAAGAGTATGATCTGTGATGCTGACATCGCACGCAATGAACGAACAGACATGTGTGTGGATGACACGTGATGCTGTATGCTAGCAGTGCACCGACTCTGACTTCGCACGCAACGAACGCGTCATGAGCCCTGGCCCAGCTTGGCACCGTGCCAGATTCAGTCTCGCGAGGCCAGAATATGAAGGTTTGCTTCTGGCTCGCCTCGGCAAATGAGCCGTGGAAAGCCACCCCACACACACCACGAGGAGTCCCATGCTGACGTGGCTCGGATGTGTCAGTGGAAAAACTGTGCTTCGAGTCACCGCCAATGCGCAGCCCTCACAGTGACCGCAGGGTCTGCCTGGGTACGGACGAGCCCCGGGGAAGAACGAAACTCTTAAACATCTCCAGCAGCCGCTCGTCCTCGTCTTGTGGGATCACAGAAGAGCTCCTCCTGGCCGGCAGCTTCCTCGGCGGCAGCGGCGGCCCGTCGCCCATCGCCCCGGCGCCCAGGAAGTGCCGCACCTTCTCCTCGAGCGCCGCGTTCTCCCGCGCCTGACTCAGCCGCCGGAGACGCAGCAGCACCGCCTGCTCCTCGTCCTTGTCTCCCAGCGCCGCCGCCAGGCCCGGCCGCCGCCGCGGAGGCCGCAGCTTCAGCTTGGCCTCCTCGAGGCCCTGCTTCTCCTGCCGGTGGCTGTTGGATGAGGAGAAGAGCGTGCAGAATCGGATGATCCTCCGCCGAGACGGAGGAGAGGGGCCACCCGACCTGCTCTTGAGGCCGCCTCTTTTGGGACTGCGGTAGTCTTGGTTACGTTGCCCACCGCCTTCCTTCCTCGTGGTGGGCTTCCTTCGGGACAGACCCTTGGCGGAGTTGGCGTCGTTCCGAAAAGCCGGCGTCCTGTCCCGCTTCGCTTCTCCGGCATCCAGCGTGCGGTCTCGCCTCGCCTTTCCCACATCCATTGTCCGATCGTTGCCCACTCTGCCGTCCCCGGGCGTGGTTCTAGAGCCAACGCGCCCGGCGGTACGATCGACCTCGCACGGCTTTTGCGTCCGCTTGTCGAACGTCACGGCTTTCACTTTCTCCCTCCTCGCAACGCCGCCCTCGGACGCCTCGCGACCGCCGTGCACGTCGACTCCGAAGGAGTTCGGCGTCTGCCAGGGACCCTCGCTCGTCCTGCACCGGCGCCGTCCCGTGCCGGTGAGCGTGGCCGCCTGGCCCGCCGGGGCGCTCTCCAAGGTCCTTCTCAGGCTCAGGTTGAACTTCTCGTTGCCGCGCTGCTGGTTCTCCACCAGCAGCTCGGTGGACTCGCGCGCGATGGCGTAGAGGGCCAGGCAGCGTGCGTGGGCGATCTCCTCCAGGCTGTCTCTCAGCCTCGACTCGAACGTGCGGTTCTCTTGCCTGGCTCTGTCCAAGTTGGAAGACTTGACCCTCTGCGTGATGTCCATCGGGGCTGACTTGAGGTAGCGGTTGGCTGGTTCACGGTGCCTGGGCGTAGGTCATCATCACAATCATCAGCAAACGACATCGTGTATCCCCTGAAGATGCAGGACACCCCATATGATGCCACAATCCATGCTCTCTCCTGTACATGAACTGATCTCATACGGTATGTATGTGTACGTTGAGCTTCTTTCGCAGCATACATAGCCAGCAGTGCTAATCGCAGGTGCGGGGAAGGACAACAAACTAAACACAAAAAGTAGTTCTAAAGAAATGTATTTTCCATCTAGAATACATACAAATATATACATATGTATAATATAAATATATATAACGCTAAATTATTAGCTTTGAACATCAGCATGCAGTAGAAAGGTTTTAAAAATATATAGGAAACGTCTTGGGCAATGGCCTTCATCCAGCAGTAAATCGATCATGACTCATGAGTGCTGCTGATGATGATGGCTTTGGTAATTCGACAACCTGTCGTTTTAAAACCGGTATAGTTGGTAAGTGTGCAACGGTACGGCGGTAAGGTCGAGCCTGGATCAGGGGTCGGCAACCGATATAACAAGAAGAGCTATTCTTTATTCCAACTCGGTTACAAAAAACTGAATGTTTTCAAAGCCGCAATGCGCTGTGGTGAATATGAGACGGTGGTGGTCCTTAAAGAGCCACAGCACGCGGCTCCGCAGCCGCAGGTTTCCGACCCCTGCGTTACAGGGAGCAGTGTTGCTACATATGTAGCATACATATGTAGCAGCTACATATGAAGCAGCTATGTCGCAGCACTGCTCCCTGTAGTAGCTACATATGTAGTAGCTACGTATGTAGCTGATACATACGTAGCTACTGTGTAGTAATTACGAGCACCGCACTTTCAAGGGCCCCGCGCTAAATGTTTTCAAGCTATCAATTCCGGTTCTGTGATTCTGCACTTGCTCTATCACTATAGTACTATACCGCCTTCAACTTTTATGAACGACTGGGTGTTTAAGGTTAGAGATTTGTTGTATTATCTGGTTGTATAACAAATTAAAAAATAAATTACTTTACTATGCAAGTAAAAAAATGTGTGTTTTAATATTTGTGGGTTTTATTTAGAGCCCCTTCATGACATCACGCTACAGGCCCCGCACGAGCTGACTGCGGCACCGAGAGGGAGCCCACGATTTCAGAGAGAACATACCGCGATGTGTCTCACCTTGAGTCCGGAGCCAAACTGTTGCGGCCAGACCCAAGGCGGTGGGTGCCAAGGGGCCGGGGCCCTTTCTTCGCTCGCCAAGCAAACACCGCCGCTGTCCGCGTGCGCGCCTCCGAGTTCACCCGCGCCGCGTGAGGTCAGCGGCTGCTGCTGCTTCCGCAGACTCCGCCGTCCACACGGCCACATCCGCTGCGCTCTCGAGGATTTGTCCGCAACCCATTCTGCACAAACACAACGGGTTCTACGGACTTCCCATAACAGCCAGAGCCACCCGAGTGTAACTCCCCCACCACCCCCCACCTCGCCAACTGTAGAATATCAATACACACGCAGCCGTTTCTTTTTCGCTTCTTTTCGTTTCTTTTTCTTTGTTTGCCGGTAACACTTCGCTGACCTGAGGGTGCTGCCCAACGACGACGAGTCAACACAGCCGCGCGAAGCGTGCTGGACGTGTCCCTGCGCCGAGCGCCTGGCCCCCCGCCACTTCGCCCTTGGCATTACAGGTGACCGAGCCCAGAGAGGGCTCGTCAAGAGCGCCCTCTTTGACTTGAGCAACCTCTTTACACATTGACACACACGCACACACACACACGTGTGTGTAAAGAGCTTGCTCGGACAAAGACAAAGATCCCCCGTGTAGCCTTAACAGACTGTAGGGGCAAGTGCTGTTAGCGAGCACTTATGAAGGCCGGAACGGTACGCGAGGGGGTGAGTGGCCAGCACCACGCCCGACCGCCTTTGTCTCCCCAGTGGCGATGTTCACACCTCACCAGGTACTCATTTGAGGCTGAGTCGACCTAAGGGAGGCCGAGGACCAGATAAGTATCAGTGTGTAAAGAGCTCGCTGTAACACACACACTGACACCCACGTGTGCGTGTGTCAGTGTGTAAGAAGCTTGCTGTAACACACACACACTGACACACACGTGTGTCAGTGTGTGTGTGTCAGTGTGTAAGAAGCTCGCCATCTGCGCACTCATCAAAACCCAACAAAATGACAAACGTGCCATGGTCATCATCAACTTTGATGGACGAACAAGAAAAAAAGAAGCTCTCTGTAACACACACTCTGACACCCACGTGTGTGTGTCAGTGTGTGTGTGTAAGAAGCCTGCTGTAACACACACACTGACACCCTCGTGTGTGTCAGTGTGTGTGTGTGTAAGAAGCCTGCTGTAACACACACACTGACACCCACGTGTGTGTGTCAGTGTGTGTGTGTGTAAGAAGCCTGCTGTAACACATACACTGACACCCACGTGTGTGTGTCAGTGTGTGTGTGTGTAAGAAGCCTGCTGTAACACATACACTGACACCCACGTGTGTGTGTCAGTGTGTGTGTGTGTAAGAAGCCTGCTGTAACACACACACTGACACCCACGTGTGTGTGTCAGTGTGTGTGTGTAAGAAGCCTGCTGTAACACATACACTGACACACACACCCACGTGTGTGTGAGGTCACAGCCCCATCGTTGGCCTCAAAGACGTGTAACTTTTATCACAAGTGCCTCTCTGTGTATGTACGCGCGTGTAAGTACACGTGTGGGGCAATCACAACAGTCTGGCAAGGCTATTTGGAGGATCTTTTACTTTGTCCGTGTGGGGAGCGGTCGTGCAACGGGAGCGCGCTGCGCTCCAAACCTGGCGGTCCGAGTTCGATTCCCGCTCACGGCCAACACCAGTGATGATTATCTGAATCAGTCCTGGGCCTCCCCGAGGTCGACTCAGCCTTAAATGAGTACCTGCTGCAATGTGGAAACATCACCACTGGGAAGACGAAGCCGTCCGGGTGTGGTGCAGGCCACCCACCCCCTCCTGTGCTGTGCCGGCCTTCATAGGTTCTCGCTAACAGCACTTGCCCCAACAGTATGTTAAGGTTATACGGGGGTACTTTTCCGTTACCTTTAGAACGCGGAATGCGTGGCGAGCAGCACGGTGACCTGAGTTGTATGCCCCCCCCCCCCCCCCCCCAGCCAGGGGTGGCATCAGTGGCGAGTGAGATCCGAATGGTTCGCCAGCGCGGTGAAGTATGGCCAGACAGCCCCCACGGACAGCAGGGAATGGGGAGGCCTTCCTCTCACCAGCAGTGGATGGTCAAAAGGAAGTCAATGATTCATTTTTAACTATGAACAAATCTAGGTTTATATTTTAATTATCTAGCTGAAAGGCTTTTGACTCTCCTTGCACGCACGTATGTTTACTGTGTCGAGTGTCTTTCTCTCACGTTGCTCTTTAATGGATGGATTGATCGTTATTGATCTGCGCTGGAATGTTGCACTTAAAATGCTGAGATTCGCAACCCAAAACTCCCCTCGCAAAAGATAATGTTGTCACAATTGTCTTACACTAATTTGTAACACAGTCGTTCATGCAGAGCAAATGCACACTTGCTTGAGTGAATAATGATCTTGCAAATATTGTACAAACAAGACTCAACACATTTGTCATAACGCTGCCCCAAAAGGAAATGATTATATATTATGAGACACTCCTGTGCTATAATAACATTGGCAATCATCTAAACTGTGTCTGGGCCTGTCCTAGCTTGACTCAGCCAAATATGTTTCACGGCTGTGCTGCGTAAAGTAGTGGACGGCACACACCTGCCTCCGTGTCGGGGTGGTATCTCGCCTTAATAGGTGCTTGCTAACAGCAGCGATGGGATGCAAACTTCATAAACGGAAGACAGAAAAGAGGAAGACCTGGGAGCAGATGGGCAGAGGCAGTCGACAGACTCGGCACAATGGGACCAATAACAACAACAGCAGGCAAGCCGCCTCAATATCACAGGTGGAGGGAGTTCGTGGCAACAGCGGGGTGCTCGTCTACAGACGTCTGGCAGTTCAGCAGCACTGGCTCAAGCGAGCCTCATTGCTGATGAGACAATGCATGCTGAAACCGGTTCACCAGAGTCTGCTTGTGTCGAACCGATGCTGCTGTGTGGCTGATGGGCTGTGTATTTTTATTATTTTCCACAATGACGCGACTGAACATTTTGTACGGATAATGTTGCCTGTTTATTAACATCATTAATCCCAACACTGTTTTAAAGGCTACGTCAAGAAGGTCTTATGACCATGAATGCCTCGATCAAAATTTCCATCGATGTGGGATGATGTATTTCGGCTACGAGCTGCTGGTACAATTCATCGCTGGATAATTATACAAGTGTAATAATTATACAAGTTTAATAATTTAAACGTGTAACGCTCCGCCACAGTATTCGCTCATTATTTCCGAGAGAGGAGAAACCACAACTAAGCAGGAAGGCATCCACGCGATGAGCTCTGTGCTCCTCTATACATTGACGATCCAATTAATGAGTGTTTACCCGAGAAAACCCACGCGTGCGAGGGGGGAACACTCGATCCCATAGAGACACATCAGGTAGAGTTCGCATTCTGTCTATACTGCCTTCACCTGGCGACACACATTATGGCACCTCCTCGACGCCCACGGCAAATGAGTTTTGCAACATTTGAGTGACCCACCAACCTTCGCGGCCTCCACAGCGCTGGGCTAGAGGCCCAGGAGAGGGTCTCGAGGGCTCTGGGTGAAGCCGTTTCGCTCTGCGTGCGACACGACGACGGCGCTCTGAGCGAGCAGAGTGGAGACGCTCGTGTTGACAGCTGTGATTGAGCAGCTGCAGCTCACGGCGAACCACTTGAGGAGTACGAGCGCTTTCATTTTACCACGTTGCTTTCAGATGTATTTGTTGTCAAATGTAAAGCGCCCTCTGAAAATCCAATGGAATGATCCTCAACAATCTACATCATCATAGGGCAACAGCAGCAACTTGGTTTACTGCTGGATAAAGGAATTGGCTGTTGGATGTCAGACCTTGCAGCTGCAAATATTTTTTTTTATATTTTCCTATCGACAGCGTGTGAATCCACTAATTTGGATGCTCTCATATTGAAATGCAGATGCTTAGTAGATGATACTCTTTTGTGATGTGTATTGATTGGCACTGTGCCCTAATCATCGCGTTCTCACCGTTACATTACCATCAACACGAAACAATTATCATCCGCAGGAAAGAAGACGCAATAAACGTAAAATATAAAACCTATTAGGCTCACGAATAAAAAAATATCCAATTATGCATTTCACGTCACAAATTCCATGCTTGTCTATTCAACTCTGCTCGTAGGTGAAATGAGCAACGCATGTGTTGTACAGATGTAATCTTTATTAATTATCTGCGTTTTAATTATTTATTCCGATAATTGAAAGCTGGCCGTCCGAGACATTTCCCCTTTTTCGCTGAAAATCAGATGGAACGGAACTTCATGCAACACGTAAAACTGGATCTTGTATTGTTTAACACAGACATCACACGGACATCAAGCACAACTGGAAAAGACTGCTAAATAAACGCGGCTAATCGTTTTCATATCATTGAGATGCACAACCCAAGAACCAGAGAGAGAAATTCGCTAACGTTGGCACACGTTTGAAAAAAACCGCACACGGCCTGAACATAAAGCGACACGTGCGAGCAATCCTTGATTCAGTTCCTGAACACGATCCCCAGCATGTGCAGCGAAACATCGGACATTATTACAAAAAAAAACGCATTCATATCTTCCGAATAACAATCGTGCGCACAATGTACAAATCGCGGCCTTGAAGCTCCGCGTGCCGTGTAACCCAAAGCAGCGGCGCGTCTACAATCAGTCGTCCCCGCCCTCGCTCAGGAGGTGCTGAAGCTTCCTCTCCAGGACGCCGGCTGGAAGAACATCCCCAGGAGGCCATCTGTCGCCGAGCTGTCCGTGACATGGCGACGAGCAGGGCCTCTCCCCGCCGCCAGCGCCGCGCTCCGTCCACCCCCCGGGCGCCACCGGCGTGGAGGCGCAGCAGCTCGTGGCGGTGCCGTGCGGCTGACGCGCCGTCGGGTGCGGGGTGGAGGACCTGGGCCGGCGGCCCGCCACGGGGCTGGAGCAGCCCGGGCTGCCCGCGGGGTCGGGCGCGAGGGCCGCGAGGCTCCACGCGCGGCGCACGCGCGGAGCCTCTCGCGAGGCGCGCCGCGCTCCCGTGCGGGGCGCCGCGCCACCGGGCTCCGAGCCCAGAGCCGTGGCTGCGGGAGCCGCCGCCAAGACCGTGGCCAAGGATTCCTCGCGATCTGTGACCGACCGACTACCCAGCGACTTGCGTGCTGCCAGGGGCGATGGCTTCAGAGAGATACCAGACTCGGTGGCTCGATCCGTGGCTTCTCGTGGGGCCGTGGCCAAGAGGTGGAGAGACGCGAGTGAAGCCCCGTCGCATTGTCCGTCGTGCGATGCTGTGTCGCCGTTATTCGTTGCCGCTTCAGGGGGGACCACGTCTCGTTGTGCACGATCGCTGCGCGGCATTTCTGTGCCACCCGTCCTCACCTCGGGCTCAGCTCGACAACCGT